AGCTCTACGCTAGCCAACCCAAGGCTGGGATAGATGGCTTGCATCCCGAACAAATCGTGGAGATCCTGGCAGGTTGTTACGGACTAGGTGATGCGCCGGCGCATTGGAGGCGTACCCTCAAAGAGGCGATCATTGGCCTTGGCTACAAAGAGAGTGTCCTGGACCCGACTGTGTACATGTTACACGACCAAGGACGACTGCATGGAGCCATTGCTGTTGAGATAGACGACTTGTTCTCGTTCGGCAGCGACTTGCATTACAAGAAAATGGATCTTCTTCGACAAAGATTTGTTTTCGGCAAGTTTGAGATGGTGGATGAGTCCTCCTGCGGTGTGGGGTTCAATGGACGTCGAGTCAGACAGCTTCAGGACAGAAGCCCGTGGGCATGGAGAAGTTCATTGGAGAAAGGCTCGATCCTGTCTCCTTGGCGAAGGGCAGGAAGGCCGACCCCAAGGCGCTGGCGAATGCCAGTGAGATAGCACAGCTTCGTGCTGTGGTGGGAGCGTTGGCTTGGGCGGCTAAGGAGGGGAGACCGGACGCTGCGGCTGCCGCATCGCTGGGTGCTGGAAGTTTCCCTAAGCCCACCATTCAGGACGTCATCGACATCAATAAGACGGTGCACCTGATCAAGTCGAACCCCTCCCTCAGCATTAAAATTCGGGCCATTCCTCTGGAGAACCTTGCGTGGGGTGTCGTTTCAGACGCCAGCTTTGCTAAGCGCCTACGGCATCATAGCCTTTCATGAGGATCTTCAGTGTGGTGCCCGTGTGCCTTGCTCGCTGGTGTCCTGGAAAAGTGGCCGAATCCATCGAGTGGTGAACTCGACTCTGGCGGCGGAGACTCAGAGTCTTTCGAAAGGACTTGGCGAACTTTGCTGGGTGGTCTCGATCTTCAACGAGCTGACGCGCACCGACTTTGACCTGACCAAGTGGGAGGAAGAGCTGCAAAAGAATAAGATGGTTGCGATCACGAAGGATGAGTCGAGCTCTGACTTTAAGGAGTGCTTGGCCATTGTGGACGCAAAAGCGCTCTTCGACCATCTGTCTCGAGAGAGTGTGGGTCCTTAGGACAAGCGTACCTCCTTGGAGATTCAAGTGGTAAGGCAGCTCATGAACTCCATCAAGGGAAAGATCCGCTGGGTTCCGCATCCTCAGATGATCGTGGATGGCCTGACTAAGAAGAACGGCAACCTGGAGGCTCTCTACCAACTTCTTGTGACTGGGGAGTATCAGATTGTAGCTGAAGCCGAGAGCTTGGAGACCAAGCGAGTAGAGAGACAGAATTTGGGCTACAATCGCCGCTGAACTTCCAAGGATGAAGTTTGGGGAGCTGTGGTTTTCCCGGCATGTATGCCCTCCTTGGAAGTCATTGTGAAAGCAGCTGTGACCGCTGCTACGACCTCTCAAACATTAGGGGCCCCTTGATGCCCGATGCTACGCAGATAGGATGCGCAGGTAAAACATGTGCTGAGCGTGCTGAGTGCTTTGGTTGAGCTTTTTGACCGCCTGTGTATCCACAACAGATATCATACACCTTTAAACCCTATGACAGGAAGTCAAGACGAGCCAAGATGATCCACCCATGACAATGCAATGGCTATTCCCAGCAGTCAGTACAACGTTGCAATGGACCTGCAAGCGCTTTTCTCGTCTTGTTTAGAGCATGTACCTCGGCAGGCTTGGTGCAAAGATGGGTGAATCTGTCGCTCTGATGCATGTCGAGATCGCGATGCTCTGTATGTGGATTATGTGAGGGTGACCAGAGACCAAAGCTTCTGGTCTGGGGAATGCATCTTCCCTGGGCGTGCAAGCCCAGATATTTGGATTACCCTTACAGCCTGTGGGCCTGTTTGCCCAGGCAGAAAAGCTCAACAAGGGCGCACTGCAAGGCAGCTGCATCTTGCACTTATGGAAGTTCTGCAACAATCCGTACCAAGTCCTTGCCGTTTCTTCCTCTGTTGAACGTGGCTTGCATTGTTTCAGTGGCTAGTGAGCACGTTCTTTGAGGTTTCGAGTACTCTCGACGCTATCCAGGCAGCGAGTTGCATCACATTTGCTTGTCCATCTTCATATGTGGAATACGCTCGTAGTTCCATTGAACAGGGATGATCCAGGAAGCTTGAAGGGTTTGCATGGGGAGGAGTTGGCTAGTCCACCCCAAGCAGCGGTGCCCGCCCGGGTCATTGTGTTGTCCCTTCCAGCCGCAGACTGTGCCCGGATGACCTGAGTGGCTAGGATACTTACCGGCGGCACCCATGGAGCCTCTCGCGGGAAGCCTCCTGACACCTCAGAGCACAAGCCTGGAGCTGAGTGTTCAGAATTCTGCCCTATTACCTTGGATAGACACCAGCCGTACTAGCTTCTTCCAGATGAACAGTTTAGCAGCAGCAGTGCCTCAAGTTCTACGTACATCTCACTAGATTAGGCAGGTGATGGCAGTTGTGTTGTGGAGATGCATGCGCATAAGTGTTTGGTTTATCTTTGTCATGGTTACATACATGTTGAGGACGTTTTGATGATTCGGATACGGACAAGTCCATTGACCTTAATCCTTCTTCTTAGCTTTGGCGGGCAAGATGCTATCCAGGTGTGGGCCAGACTACAGCGGCAGAGGCCCTTGCAAAGAGCGATCTGCAGCAGTAGATGTGCATCCCGGTGGGCTGCAGGAAGGCTAATGATGACTACATGGAAGCCTCTACCCAAAAGACTTTCTGCCGGAAATAGCTTCCAAGTATCGATCACCTGGTGGGTCGTGCGAGCTTGTTGTTCGAATCGTTTTTTCACGCTGCCATTTGTAGCATGTGGCTCAATCGTTGGCGGGGTATAGGGCTCGGGGCAGCCCCTAATGCCCACAGCACTTCCGGTGCCAGACTCTCAGCCTTGCCATCATTTATGATCTTACAGGGTTTTGTGAGGTCTAGGGGTCATACATAATGCTGATGGATGAAATCTTGCACCACCTTGAGCCCTAAAATCGTAGGAGTTACAATAGTTTAGGGCCTCCAGGTGGTGCAAGATTTCCTCCATCAACAATAGGCTGATGATTACTTACCTGTATGCTTTGTAATGTAGGCGCAGAAGATGTCCGTGGAGCTCAGGCATTTCGGGCTCGTTGACGACGAGCTTCCAAGCTGCTCAAGCCTGGACCCCGACGACGAGGACAAGAACAATGTGAACGCCTAAAGTCGCCAGATCCTATCGTAAAAATGAGCATCTGGGCGCACCGGCAGGGCTCGAATGTGTACTGAATCTTGCTCGGCTTTTCAGGACTGGGATTCTTTAGCGCGGCGCTCACTTGTTGGCAGCGTTACTATAGCAAGCATGCTTGAGCAGTTAAATGCGTCACTTTCTCAAGGATACGGCAGAAGGTCCGTCCCAGGCAGCGGGTGCTCATCAAAAGCATGTTCACTGACCTTTTCTCCAAGCCTTTCGCAAGCTCTGGCCAGGAAAGAGACAACAGCCCTTTGTGTGCTGACTCTCCACAAGATGCGGGAGCCCAAGCCTGTTCTCGACTGCTCAGACTTCTGCATCCATTGTGGTCTGCACTGGCTTTGGGGGCTTGAGCTTGAGCATCTTGAGCCTGGGAGCCAGCAGCACATGTGGGCTCCACAATATGAGCTGTGTCTTTCATCCTGGGATTCTGTGGCGTGAGCAAGCGGATAGCATGGTCCAAGGTGGACATTGTGCCCATTCCCATAGCGCCTGCTTATTTTGAGAGGGTAGATGCCAAACCCGCCAGAACCTCAGGCTTGCGTGTCCGGCCTGCAGTTTCAGTACGGGGCTGCTTTTGCAAAGTGAAAAGCAGTGCGACGCGTTTCCTGTTGCACTTTTAAAGGCTCAAGCTACAAACCGATCTTTACCAAACTGCATATGCTGTTTCCACAAACGGATGATTTTCTCCATTCACTGTCTTTCCTGAATGTGACGGAGCTTGGACTGAGTGCGGCGGTAACGCCATCCTGGAATGCCTCTGCTTGCCACGATATTCTTTGGCTTGAGCTTTGTAGGCGTTTCTGGAGCACCAAGGCCCGCAACTTCCATCTGACGTCAGCACGCCTTTCAAAGCTCCAATCAAGGGCGTGCAGCTGGAAGGAACAGTACAGACATCACCTGGAAGATGGCTCGCGAAAGCACATCACATATCTGGAGCTCACGAGTCTCATCTGGGATTTCACTTTTCGATTGCACCCACAAGTGCGAGCATCTTCAGCGTTTCGCTTTGATGCCTCGGGCCACGTCTCTGGCCACCCCAACGGTTTGACCTATGCATGGCAGCTCAGCGACAATGGCCGTCGGGTGGAGCTGGGACAATTTCCGCAGGCCAAGGTCATACGACGAGCAGACTGGGGTTGGGCCATTGCAAACAGCAACATTGTCTGCTGTTCCCTGGAAGAGGAAGACCTGGATGGCGAGGGTGGGGCCTCCGCATTGCATCCGGAACTTTTCAGCTTGGACCAGCTGGGTCCTTCTTTACAGCTTGTGCACATGCTCATGCGACTCCAAACAGCACCGGTCAGGTAGCATGTCTCACTTGAAGATGATGGAAGACGATGATCATGAAGCATCATGCCGGATGGCGCTCGGAGCAACGAACAGGAGGACGTGCCGGAGCTCTCTGTCCGAGCGCTGTAAAGAGTGGCCAAGAAAGGCCGTGGTCATGTAAAGGGGTCCTGCACCGGTCTGCTCCTTTTCACTCATGTGCAGCTTGGACAGCCCATAGCTTCGCAAAAAAAAGGTGGCCAACAGAAGCGTGTTGTCAAGATGATGTGTTGCCGTCAATGCCACTTTTTCAGCATGCTGCTTGACTGTGGAAGGTGTTGCGATCACGAGATCCGTCTCCAATAGGGATCAATCAGCGGTGCGCAGCCAAGACATTTTTTCATGGCTTGAATGCACTCGTATGTTGGGGCTACACGACGTCAGGTGCATTTTGACACCGCACCTTGGCAATTCCTGGCTTGCATGCAACTTGCCAGGACAGTGTCTCGGCCCACTACGCCCATGAAAAAGAATGACATGGGACGAGGGGTCACAGCCTCAAGGATCGGCTTCTTAGACTTAGAATGGCCTACGATTACGATGCCAGGGTTGAGTGTTTTGCTTTGTCATCGCCAGTTTTCCATGTTTCCATGCTTTCATTTCTCAGGTTCCTTTCCGCAGACCCACACCGCCGGTGACTCCGAAAGATGTAGATTTTGGCGGTAGACTCAGAGGCTCAGCTGGACTCCGGAAGGGATACAGCTGCCAACAGCTGCTGCCCTAGCGGAACCAAGGTCAAGCCTGTGATGCACAGGCCAGGATCAGACGAATAATTCCTCGCCAGGAGGTAAAGGCGTGGGGCTTGGCCAAATTGCTCTCATCCCTGGCCCCTCCTGCTGCGCTTTCTCGAAAGGGGCTGAAGGCATGTGTGTCAGATTTTGGCTGAGGATCCGGATGATCCAGCACCTCCAAGTCCGGCAGGGCCCATACCCACAATCCCGGCAGCACCGACGGTTCCGGTAGCGCCACCTCCTGGTCATACTGGCCCTCATCTCTTGGAGGACCTTGTACGGGTGTGTTGCTTTGTTTGCAGCAGTTTCCACATCGTACCCGGCTGCCTCCTTCAGTCGCGAAAGGATTCCAGAGGAACCCTTTGTGAGTCTGATCTGGGGCTACCAGGCCGTCACTTTGCAGCAGCTTGTCCCGCTGAAGCTTCTGCATACCACTTTGACTTCAGGCACGGTTATGGATCCCATTTTGGAAGACGGAGGTATAGTTGTCGGCACCTCGAGAAGTCAGACTCTCAGCTTCCTGTGGTCGTAGCTAAAACCTGTTGCAAGCGATGCCTAGAAGCTCCAAAGCCAAATTTCATTCTCCAAAGCTCGCAACACTTCACAACCCTGCATGCTGAATTCCTAAGTTCTCTTAAGCCCAAGCTGCCCCAAGCAGCTCTTGCTTCAGGCAACCTCAAACGCAGGAAATCAGTAACCGTGTAACTTCTGTTGCCCAATTCCACCTTGAGCTCGTACTGGCAGGTGTGGAACTGCTACTGCATGCTTCTCACCATAGACTTTCTTGCTTTTTCCCCCTTAGAAAAATGAATAACCATCACCTGGCCCAGAGCGCCAGAGCCCCAGGCCGGGCCTCCAGCCGTGCATCTCGGCGTTCCGCGCGGTCTTCCTTCCCCTGGATGGCGAGCCCGTCTGGCCGCTTCCTCAGTATCCGACCAACTCATTTCTAAGATGTCCTTGCTCATTATTGCCAGCTCAATGCACACAGAAGAGAGGTACGTCCCAAAAAAGCGAGTGCAGCACATGTTACTGTCAAAGTATATCAATTCAGCAGGAGTTGTGTTTTCTTTAGACATGGCCTGGTTGGTGTCATTTAATTAATCCGTCCAACAAATTAATCCGTCCAACAAGGTGGTGGACGCCTCTTTTTCTTTTTCCTTGAAACTAGGGATTCCACCAGTCTACCTATCAAAACAGGCGTGCCGTTCAACCTGTGACCCAGAAGCCTAAATCCTGCGCATGATGCACCTCTCGGCCGAGGCTTGCGAGATATCGACGAAGGCTCGCTCCAGTCTTTTCACGTTTTGAAAGCCACTTCCAACCGTGTACCTCCTGTGCTCAAAAGGAATTCCAATTTCTGGCACCGGGCCTCGCTATGCAGGGACACCTGCTCAGGCCATGGGCGGCTTCGCTCTTCGCTTGTGATAGAGGGCATGTGGCATTTCAAATGGTCTTTCAGGCGGCCGAAGCCCTGTTGAATGGAATTAGCGCAGAGGCCGTGCCCCATTTTGCGCATCTCCGTGTTATCCTTGTCCGTGTGTGCAAGCTGGTTTCATCTCAAGGTGTCGCACTCTTCTTCTTTTCATTCCGCTCCAGATCTTAGAGGGGCGGCCGCGAAGGCAAGAGAGCAAGCAAAGTTGCAAGCAGCGCAGTTCAAAGTGGAAGACTTGGCAAAAGCAGAGCAACCAAGAGTCTTCTCCTGGTTCGGCTGCCAGGCTTCCATGCCCAGACACGTTGCTTGTATACGCAAGCAAGTCCTCGCTTCCAGGCCTGCTGTGCGTACCCTCACACTCCTCTTGCATGGTTTGGAGTTTTGCAGATTTCCTCTGCAGGCGATTGGAGGAGCTCGATCTGTGCCCTCGGGGAACCACTCCGAGAAGGCCTTGATAGGATGTCACTCAATCACTGCACCTCTGCAGCGGGCAAAGGTCCTGTGGGATTGAACCCAGCCAGGCAACGTCCGGGAGCATCACCAAACGGCTGAGTGCGCATTTCTTCGTCAGACCACCTGGCACTGCATTAATCCGGATTCGGGCAAGACTTCCGAGTCTTCTGCAGCAGCAGTTTTTTTTGAGGTACGGAAGACCTCGCAGACGAGGCTTTCCATTTTTTGCCTTCAAAGTTAAAGGGGGTCGTTAAATTGGGCAAGGAATAAAAACAGGTCGTCTTGGGCAAGGCACCGGAGCCAAGAGATGCTCCTGTCAATTCCTGTCTCACCCCTCGTTACAAGATGTTTCCAGCTTAAAGAATTCCTGGTTTTGCTAGAAGTAGAGGAAGTTGATTTGTGACAAAGTCACTGGCTCCAGAGATATGTGTCTCACTGCTGTGATGTCTCTAATTCCTGGAGACGCTCTTGCTGCTCGGGCAGGGCTTGTGAGACGCTACACAAGCAATGCTGCGTCAGACTATCGGTTCATCCCTTCGGATTGTACAGTGCGCAGATGGGAGGACCTAGAGAAGGCGTTGCTCAAACATGATTCAATTGGGCACCCCACAGAGCAAAGGTACACAAGTTTGCTAGATTTTGCTAGTAGCCCTGAGCTCGGAAAGCCAGGTCAACCCGACTCCCAGTGTAGGGCGAAGGCCCGTGCACTTGGGCCAAAATCCGAATTTCCTGATGGAAAGTAAACATTTTCATTCAGTAGGACTGCTCCAGCAGGGACATTTTCTTATCAATTTCCAGTATTGCTTAATTCTGTTCATGCCGATGTCCCTGCAACGGAGAAGGATTCTCGTGGTGTGCAGGCAACATACCTGCGCATCCTGGCCTGTCTCTACCCCAATTTCATGTACCCCGATGACAAACAAACAGAACAGAGAGAGGGCAACAAGCTGCTCCCTCATATAAGTGGCTTGAGAGCCGTAGGCCCTGGTGTTCGCAGAAGTGTGCACCTCTGGCGAAAGTTGCAGTCAGGGGGGGGTACAAAGACAAAGGGGCTGCGGTCCTCCTGCTTTTTCTTTTGGCTGCTGCAACTGGAGAGCCGTTGTTAACACATGATCTGAGGTTACTACTACAGACAAGTATATCATATTCGTTCGTCACTGGGCTGAAATCGCCAGAGATCCCCTGATTTCAGGCCAACATGTGATTCGCCTATTTCTGTTATCTGTTGTTTCCGCATGTTGCCGCCTGCTGTGGGCTATGTTGTGTCTGGGAATCGGCCATGTCGCACAGCTTCAAGACCCGCACGTTATGAAAGAGCTGACTGTTCTTGAGGTCGGGTTGAGGAATGCAGGAGCCTAATGTTTGTATATCTAGAGGAAGGTGCTTGAATAGGCAAGCTTCCGACCTGAGCATGGTCAAGAGTCAAGAGCACGCAGCTCGTTCTCCTGACCCATAGTCCTGGCAAAGGGACCCAAGAAGGTCCCAGCATCTTGCAGCCAGTTTCGTGATCCAAAGACGTGCTGCATGTGCTCTGTCCATCCCATGCCCAGAGACTTGTGAACAGTATAGCTGATTGGATTCCATGTTAGCATTTTTGAGTAGAGAGACAAACAAAAATGAAGTGATGGGTTCTATTCTGAAATCTTCTGATGCCTTGTGCTTCCAGTGTAAATGATCTATCCTAGTAACGCTTCCAATTTTGATTCTGTCACGCATACGCATGACATGACACGAGCCTTTGTGCCGTTCGGAAGGTGAATGCTCCGTTTGATCCGTCAGAAGATCCTGATGCACCAGCGCCACTACCCAGGCAGTTCAGTATGGTAGCTATCGCGTTTTCCTAGGTAGGCCTTGCGCAGAAGAACAAGTTATCGTAGATTTCGCAAATAGTTGTTTGCTGCTCCATGTGTGAGATTGGCGCGGGAGGCTAGGGGGCAATTTTGCGCCGGATCGTCGGGTGCTGAGATCTCCTTTGCTGCAGGTGCATTTGAAGCACTGCCGCGTGAGAGAAGCAAATGTAATCAGTTGATTCCTCGAAGCATCCAGCATCATATACCAAGGTTCCGGCAGCAAAAGTGGCGTGGGAGCTTGGCAGGCCCCCGATCGAACTTGCCAAACTTGGTGTTTCTAACCTAAGCAGGCGCCTCGTTGGATTGTGGGTTGGGCTCATTTAGCAGTCTGTGTATGGGCTCTGGCCGCCAATGGCAGCAAAAAAGCCTGAAGCAGAGGGCTCACTAGGCTTCCCTGTCATTGCGGCTGTGTCTCACATCCGAGGCGCGGCGGGGCAGCCCACCTCCCGTCATGCCTCTGGACGTAGGCTGGTTCGTGTAAATGAGGTCAAGCGTGTTTCATCATATGCTCTCTGTAACTCTGCCACCGCAGGCTCTGAGCCAGTGTCCCTCAGCGTTGGGGCATCCCCGCGCCCAGGGGCCTGCCCCTCAAAGGGCCACATGCATAAAGGGTGCTTTCAAAAGGCGGGCTGTGTGCCACAGATTGGGGGTTTAAGGTTCTGGAGTAAGCTGGGGAGCTGGTTTCACTCCCAGCAGTAGGCAGAACGTATGCTTTGTGGACACTCCAGGACGATGGTCAGATGAAAACCTCGCAAATCAATCACAGCACCAAGCTCTAACGTTTCAATTCTAAACACCTACTCCAGCTGGCAACCACCTTCACTGGACGGCATAGCGTCCACGACCACGCGTTCAATATCTCCAGATTGTCTGTGCTTTCTTCAGTTGTTCGACAGTACACGTTCGCCTCAGCTTCATTTGGACCAGCAAATGCTTGCATACCTCAGGCAAAGTATGCTACTAATGATTTACTTCCCGAAGCAGAGAGCCAGGCTTCACGATAAAGTCTTGGAACACAGCAACGTGTGCGGTTTGGAGTTGTTTTCAGGCGGGTAGGGCTTGGCAACATGGGAGTCGCTTGTTAGCGCCATCCAATGCAAGCAGCCTGAACTAGTCACATCTAGTCACGGTGAATGTTATTGGAATTGTGCCTGCTAAGTATCCAGGCAAGGTTGGCCGTGCGGGAGAGGCATGCAATGCCCAAAGTGCCTCCCGTGAATTTGGAGGCCCCCGCTGTCTGCTACACTTGTGTCAGAGACGGACATGCTGCTAGCAGTTGTTCGTCTTCTTACAGGCTTTCACCAGCCAAAGCTTTAATGTTCATCAGTCCCTCGACACAGCTTCGAAAGCCTTGCGGTCCCGGATTTTTCTCATCAAGATGGTCTCTTGTGGAAGGCTAGTTTGGTGCGGATATAGATTATTTTTACCACCGCAGCTATCACCGCCTCCGCGGCAGCCAGGCTGTGCGAATCGGCAGCGAGTTGACGAGCACGCCTGCGAGCCAGGCTGGAACAACGGCACTGCTGCAGAACTCAGCTCAACCTGCATCTGTATTCACAATCTCCGTCGCTCTCAATTTGAGCACGGATAACTGCAATCTGTCGCTGTACTTGAATGCTGATTGCGATTGACTGGCAGGGAGAGTCGGCCAAGCCGAGTTCTCGTTGCTGGCTGAACGGCCAAGGGCCTGCCAGGTCCCTTCCTGAAGAGAACTAAGCAGTCGTTTGATTCATTTTGTTTGCGATGTCAGGGAGGAAGAGCCCCTCACGACGCCGCAGGGACGTCAGTTCCAGGCTGCTCATTGACCGGCAACAACGCTTGGAAGAGCGCAGTCACAACGTAAGTCAGAACGTGCCAGCGATGAAGCAGTTCCGGAGGCATCACTTCCACTTCCACCCACGAGCGTGCAGGCCTTAACCAGAGTCGGTGCAGGATGAGCTCCTTGGGGTTCCGATTCAGCTTGGATAATGGTAGGCTTCAATCCAAAGAACTTCAGATTTAGCTGCTGGTTTTTACGGAATAAAGGAATAGGCCCTATATGACCTATGTATAATGCCTGCGTGATCCCTGTGGGATATAGTCCCTTGTGCCCTCCTGAGAACCAGAAAGTTCTGCTGACCTGGCTTGGTCATGCCCAAGGTTCCGAGCTCGCAACGTGGAAGGAGCAGGCAGGCTTCCGACATCGCAAGACTTTGGTTTACGTGATAAATGGTTTAAGGTTTTGGGATTTAGGGGTGTAGGGGTCAAACGGCTTAGGCTTCAAGGTGTTAGCACGTGTAGAGTTACTACTCTTGAATTTGTCCTCTGCAAGATGACAGTAATATACTGTAACTATGTCCATGCTGATTGCTAGAGCATTCTACAAATGATTCACGTCCTGCAGGCCGCCAAGCCCTCATCCCAGTGACTCAGGCTTAGAGGCGCCGGCAGATCCGGGCTTTCCAGGATTCCCGGGTCAGGGCGGTTTCTTCAGTCCATGGGCATTTTTGGTAAGAAGTCTATCTATACCCAAAGAAAAATCCAGGACTGAATACATTCAGATGTAGAACATGTCGAGCGAGCCCTATTGAGTAGCTGTGAGCTTCCGTCGGCATGCATGAATTCAATTCCTGCAAAGAAGTCCATGCAGTGTGTCTTGTGGCTGCTCGCTGCTGCGTCTCTTATCTGTTGCAGCGATCCGTAGAGTCGCCTTGTGGCCTGTGCGGCGCCAGCCGAGGTCTCAGTAGGCATGTTGAGCTGGGAGTTCTGACAAATGATGAGCTATGCGACGCAGTGCACGCCGTCTTGTGCATGATGCCACGCACAAGATCATGGAGAGCACCAGACAGGAGATCACGCAGAGTAGAAACAAGTACTACTTGTAGCCTGAAGAAGCGCAGAGGTCGCCTCCATGGCAGGTGTGGCGCTTACAGGAAATCTTGTCAAGCACACTTGTCATGCTATAGCACTTGAGGTCCAGATGAGCCGGAGGCAGATGGGCTGATGATGATGTTCCCCTTTCCGAGCTGCAGCAGTGCGCGTGACCAAAGAGAGTTCAGAGATATTGCCAGGTGTCTCGCACCGACCCCCCAGCTGGGGGTTTAGACATGCCTCCACAGCCACCGCCCATCCAGGTTGGCGGAGCAATTACTGCAACGCTGGAGCCAATCCAACAAGCAAGCACACTTACAAGGAGCCTTCCTTCCCTGGGGAGAGCGAATTATCCGAGGACCATCCGAGCCCGTTCTAGAGTCACGTGAGCACCATAAAACTCACGTCAGGACGAGCGGAAACGCTGGCTCATTCTGCATGTGGCACTTCCACGCTTGGCTCCCTGGATCCTATGTCTTCAGACGTCCAGGTGTGCTAAACTTCAGCAAAGTCCTTCGAGGTACCATCATGACTTGTGATGTGGCACACGGAAGAAGTACTGAGGCGAGGTGTTCCCCTCGTCTTTGCGTGGTTCATGAGTTCCCACAATTAGCTTCTTCTCGTAAGGGATGAGAAGCTCTTTCCGGATTTCATTAGAACACTCTTCTGCAATTCCGCCTGCTGCAAACAGCATCCTTTCCTGAACTGACCATGCAGGACGAGCTGAATGATGTTGGGCTCTCACAAGGAATTGGTGCAGCTGCAAGAAGCTGGCAAAAAGGTCAATCCAAATTCAGCTGCTTCAGATCAGGCCCTGTCCAGCCTAGCCTGGGGCTCCATAGACGAGGAGGGGGGTGAATGGGCCCGGCGCACAGATGCGAAGGCGAGCTGAGTATATGCCGCCGTTCCTGACTGAGACCCTCGAATCTCCAGATCCTTGCTTGGAGCCTCCACATTCCTCGCTGATCACGCCATGCCCTTAAAGACCATGCAAGGCAGTTATTGAAATCAGCTGCTTGCCACCTGAGCAAGACAGGTATGCGGAGTATGTGGCGCGCACATACCCAGCTGATCCCACGATGGAGGACAAGGACTGCCGAAAGCAAATTCAGTGCAGGGAGTCACAAGAAGGGGACTATGAACATTGTAGCATGCAGGCACGTGAAGAGAACATCAAACTGGCTACGGAGAAGCGGTGTTGCTTTACCTGCGCTGGCGAACCGGGCTCAAAGTCCGGGGGCCCAGAGCAAGTGAAGGGGCGCATGCAGGGCACTTTGCTTGTTGTGCAGCCTCTTTCCATGGGTTGGGCGCATTCTTGGAAGATGTTTCTGAAGGTTTCGGCCTATGTACGATCAGATGATCAAGAACCTTCAGCACTCCAACAAGGCATGGCGCACCTTCCAAAACCCGAAAAAGGCAGTTACGAGCTCGCTGTTGATCAGGCGCTTGCAAAAGCCTTCAACATCAAGAAGGCCAACTTGCAATGGTTGAGCCAGCTGGTGACTGATCTCAGAGCGCGGAAGGTGTGTCTGAAGGAAGACGAAGTACCGGAGGATCCCACGAAGACAGAGGCGTGAGCTCGGTGTAGATCCATAAACTGTCACGTGCGGAAGCAAAAGCTGAGGCGCAGAACATCATGCGCTTCGGCCGGCATCAGATTCTGCCGTCCTTCTGGTACATGCTTGCCGACGCCTCAGCACATGATAAATCAAATAGGCCAGTAGCGGCACACATTTAGCATCCGTTGGCAGCTTAGATTCAGCTGACAAAGCGCGGCAGACGGTTCTCAGTGGTCTTCAGATCATTTAGCGAAGAGCAGCTGCTGCAGGCAGGAGGAATTTCCGCGTGTTGTCTGATGGCTCTTGGTGTATTTGCTTCTTCAGAACTGCTTAGCGTGACAGGCCCAAAAGGAGCTACAGCTCATCCCTCGGATGGAGCCCTGGCTGTTTGCGATTTCTGAAGCAGGATGATGCTAAGGCTGTTTGCGCAGTGCCAGCATCCTGCCTACAACGGGCAGAACAAGACCCAGAAGTGCCGGGTCAGCATTAATGTGTCGCTGGTCAATAGCTGGGCTGATGGTTTATTAGAGCTGGCCAAATTCCTAAGGCCCCCGCTGATGGATGGGAACAAGGACCTACAACCTGCTTGAATTCGCAGCTTTCAATTTATGCAAGAGGTCAGAGCCAAGTGTCCCCAGATGATCATCCAACATTCAGTCTTCCAGCAGGGTCAACACGGAGGATGGTGCTCAGACTTCCGCTTGGACATGCTTGTGTTCACATCTATGAAGTTGTTCTTTCATGCAGTTACAAAGCCACACTCAGGAGTTGTAATTACATCTGGAAACAGGGCCGAGGACATAATTCCATTTTTCAATTCACCATTTGAATAATCGCTCCAGCCAATTCATGGTTTTCAACCAAGTCATAAACTGCCCCTTGACCACTTCACTTGCTCCATCGCTTGCATTATTTGTTGTTGTCTTTCCCTTTCAGATAGTCTTCAAACGTCAGGTCACTTTACCTGAGGGTTTATCGGGCTTGGCAGCCTAGGGTTTAGGGTTGAGTGATCCAATTGTTGTCAGGTGTTAACCTCGGCTAAAGGTCAAAGAGCTTGAAGCGACTGAGGTGGTCGAGTGAAAAATGCATTGGAGGTGAGTGAAGTAGTAAGATGGTGATCGGCCCCTTTTCCGAAGCTCTATAGAAGCTTCCTTCTGAAGAATGCCGGCATACACGTATGTCCTGCAGGGATCCAGAGACATGCGCCTGTCTCAAGCAGCCATCGGTCGCCGGCATCTCGGAGACCCTGCTTGCAAATCCCCTGAGCAAAGTTCCGGAAAGAGAGCACCGACTGTTGGACGAGCGCGGCGTGCCTAAGGCATGGATAGAATGGGCGGCTTCCTCCGCTTCAGGGACCGACCTGCAGTGGAGCCGCAGCCTCAACAGCCTCAACAGCCTCATCTCTGTGCCATGCTGACAACCTGGCCAAAGATGTGGAAGGACGCCGGCAGAGCCCGTCCCAGAAGCGAGCGAGCCGCAGGCAGTGAAGCGTTCCTTTTTCCATTGCGGCATCATTTGGAATTTTGCAGGCTGATGTGCCAGAAGCGGCCTTCAGGCCGTTGATCTGACCCAATCTCCACGCTTTGCTGAAGGGCACGAATCTGCGCATCCTCGTCAGGCCCACGGAGTACACATTTCCTCCCTACCACGAAGCATATGCTGGTTTGATGTGCAGCTGGCGTGTTAGACGGTGAAGGTGTTGCTGGTCTGTTCCTGGTGTCAACAGGTTTTGTTGACACTACGTAAACTGCCATGTGGCGCACAGCCACAGCCTTGCCCCTGTGATTTAATCTGTATTGTTTTGGTTTTGTGGCACCATGTATGATGAGCTCTGAAACCATCCCATCTTGGACATGCCAGGCACCAGATCTTCGAAACAGCCAACACAGCAGCCATTGTAGATGATCTGGCGTCCGCGACCTATTGTTCATGTCTTTTGTATAGCACCTGCGTGACAAGTGCTGTCTCATGGTTGCACTGGATCAAGGTTCTGGGAAACGCACGAGCGTGCCAGTACTGCTGGCAAGATGCTTCTGGTAGACCGCGCCGAGACGAAGGCCACTCCACGGCGTGAGGTGCACATCACCCCGTGAATTGAACCTGAAGGTCCAGCATATCTTCTTTGATGGCAACGTCGAGAAGGCCGTGCCAACACATAGAGACTAGATGCAGACTAGATAGATGTATCATAATCGCAAGCATGAGACATGAAGTTACATTCCTAGATTACTTTGCATTGACAGGAGGATGCGTACTGCGTGGATGCGCCTTGGACGCACGTCCTAGTACCCATGCCACACTGTATGAGCTATTCGCACCTGAGGTGAGGAATGCAGTGAACGGGGAGACGATCTCGCTGGACAGGGCTTCAAATGTCTATCTGCACCGCGTAGATTTCTTCCAGGCCTGCTGGTGCTGCACAGCCTGCAACTCATTGCCAAGAACAGCATCATGTATGCATGACGATCATGGGCTCATTCGTTGCAGCCCCTGTTTACAGCTGAATCGGCAATGCAGGCTGTGACAGATGTGGAGTATTTCTTGAAAGCCACAGAGGCGTGAAGCTTTGTTGCTGGTGCGTGCTGATTTGCGTTTGCAAGTTGGCTGGGGCTGCAAAGGCATGTGAGCTTGCTATGTCCAAGATGATTGTGGAGGAGCTGTGATCATGTCTTAGTTTTAGCTGTGATCATGTTTTAGTTGGCAGCTGCCGGCTCAGTTCCTGGTCGGTGTTTCTTGCCCATGCATATGCGCTGCCAATGCATGCAAGCCGCCTGCAGGACAGACACGCAGAAGGCGTCGTCAGGTCCCTTTCGGAAGAGGACCCCTGGGAATGGGGAATGTAATGAGCAAAGCTGAAGACATGCAGATAAGTGGGGGTTTCCCAAAATTAGGGGTACCTTTTCGGGGGCCCCATAATATGGACTCTAATGCTTGGGGGTCTCTATTGGGGTTCCCCCATTTAGAGAAGGTATCCCGTCTCTTATGGCAATTGGTCTACGTGAAGCTCTCAAGAAGTGACCCCATCAAGGAAACTCTGGCCCACACCACACACTGAGCAGCAGTAGGCAGGCAACATGCAATCTCCCCAAAACCATCTGTATGTGAAGCTCTAAGGATCCCTCGTCCAGAGAATAAAGATGACATAGACTGGATGACATTAAGCATCGTGAACGAGGATCAAACAACACTTAAACTGGAGAAATGCAGCCCTCGCGTGGCGCGTCCTCGAATCTTTTCGCCCGAAATCCACGCCTCACATGCTGTCTTGAAATTGAGCTCTCGGGAATGGGCGCGCTGACAATTTGTCAAGCCAAGTCCAGCTCTAGCATTGAGAGTCCTCACATTTTTGCAGCAACCCCGCTAATTACAGGAAGGAAGGAAAACGAGAGGATGGAAGGAAGGCATGTTTCATCATGTTTAACCAATTTCTCCGCGGGTTTCATCATATCTTATCACAGTTGATAACTTTCTGCAATCATCATCAGATTTTTGTCATGTTCCAGCACCTTTCATTGTTCGTCACATTTCAGCCTCATCATATCGTATGACATTCTTACATGGCTTACATCATATTCTAATTTTTTCAGTACTTTCAACGTATTTCATCATTTTAATTGTTCCTTGCTTTTTCTTCCACAGCATTTCATTATATTTTCATCAATTTCCTGCAACTTTCCTCATGCTTCTTCCATTTTTTCACCGTTTCACATCATGTTCGGTGAAATTGTACATCATTATCATCATCATGATCATCGTTTACATTAGTTTTTCAGCATGTGTCATTGATTTCATCATCGTTTTTATGTTTTTTTCATCAGGTTTCTTTTTCTCATGGTAATTCAAATTTACATCACTTTCTCAGAATATCCCGACATATTTCATCGTGTTCTATCGACTTTCATCATGTTTCACTTTGTTGCATCATGCTGCATCATGTCTCATCATGTTTCATCTCTTCATCATACATTCTCGTTTTCTATTGTTTTCACGATTTTCATGATACTTCTTCAAGTTTTTGTTGATCATATCTATAATCATACTCGACTTTTCAGAACTATCTGTTCTTAGTTGTTCTCATCTTTTTGCACAGTTCTTCATGGTCTTCCATCATTGTCATCAGTTGCTCAATACCTTTGCTCATGTCTCACCATTTTGCAGGATACTTTTTCAGCTTCATCATTTTTCATCAGGTTTCGTTATGCTTTAATCATTTCCGAGTGTTTCATTCTTTCCTACCTTTTTCATGGTTTTCTTGATTTTTGATCATATTTCATCCTGTTTGGTTCCTTTCAGCATTCTTCATAATCTGCATGATGTTTCATAACATCAGCATGGGCCTCGGAACACCTCGAAATCGTGGCATTTACAGTGTATAAGCTTCTTCAAGTTGAGCTACAGTACACATTTTCTTGAGCCTCATTTATGTAGTTTTGATTCTCGGAATCATGACATGTCTAGTATTTACCAACCCAAAGTACCATATATTTTTTGATCCTCAACTTCTGTCGTTTTAGCTGGAAATAGATGTTTTGATCCTTATTTCAGGTTTTAGACCTGCACCCCCTCCCAACATCAAGGAGCAGAAGAAGGCAGCCGCTGCAGCAGCTGCCATGACTCCCAAGGCGGCCCATGATTGGTTGACTAGCCTGTCCTTTTGGTGCACCTGGATTGGGCTACGCTTGTAATGCACAGATGGGCATGTGTTTGTTCAAGTCCCAAGAATTGTCTGGCTCAGTTCCTAAAACAAGTCCTTCCTTATAGATTTTAGTTGGATGTTACCATACCAAAATCTTTGCAGTAGCTAAATCGAGACACTGCAGCTTTGCAAAGCTTCACGCCCGTGCCAGGAGTGGCTGTACCGCAACATTATCCCAGCGCTCCTGCCTGCGCTGGAGGCCTGAAAAGCTACAGGGAAGACCTTCCTGCAATGCCATGTCCTTCATATTTGGCTCCCAGGTTGATTGAGCCCGATATTTACATGAACTGTTCAGATGAAAGAAATAAAAGCTTCGGCTTTGGAGACCAAGTTCGCTTTGTCCTCAGGCTCTTGCAGATGTTTGACTCGTCCTGAAAGGTTTCCAGAGGTCCAAGTACAACGTATTAAATGCACTCCTTCATGTCCATGTGGCTTGCCCCAAATAGCTCCTTCCAAGCATCATCGCATCTCTTGGGCCGATCTACCCCGTTTTTGAGTAGACCTTGCCTGCCTTCAACACATGCGTCCTTGGTTGCCGCGAATGTCTTTGTTCAGAATGGTCTGGGTTGCTGTTAAGGAATTCAAATTTATGTTGCTATAATTAGGAAACCCTAGTAACACTAGTATTGACCATGAACCCATAATATGGTAACTTAAGTTCCTTATTATCAGCAACCCAGTGGTTTTCTTGCACAAGCAACGGCAGCCTTGCATTTTGGTCACAATCTTACCACAACATGGGTACATAGTTAGTTAATTTGGTTTCTTTATTATAGTATATTCTAGTAGCTTAATTTGACCTTTTAACCTGAGTTGCAGTTGCCTACCAACTGTGAAAGTAAAAAGGACACTCAGAATTACCTTCGTGGTCGCTTGCAGACGAGTTAAGTAACAAACTGAGATGGACATCAGCAGTCTGCAAAGGCATTCTGCAGTAGGACAAGAGGTGCGACGTGTCTGGAAGAGAATGGGTTACTGCTGACCGTTAATGTCTAATCGGACACGGTTCGCACGTGCATTTGCTCAGCCCTGCAAAATTCTTGGAAGTGCGGACTGGGATGATGAACATGTTCCCGGACGCGTATGTGCCACTGTCTACCCAGAGCCTGGAAGAGCAGCTAGTACTCTGATATTCCTATGACGAGAAAAGAGTCTGCATTGGCGCAGGCGTGCCAGCGAGATAGGCCCGAGGATCCCATCGAGCCCGGTCCTCATTTGGAGGTGATTGATGAAGATATTTATACTCCGTGTTGCCTCTGCGAATCAAGCTCCAGGAGAGGAATCAGATAGATCCTGGTATGTCTTGTGAGCATGTCCACAGAAAGGGATCTTAAGAACAGCTTCTCTATACAACCTTTTGGTGCAATACATGCTGTTAGGCCCTGTTCGGCCTTTGGTTTCGAGGAAGGGGCTCTTTTTGGCCATGCCTGTGCTCACTGTCTAAATGCGAGACACTACGAGATCATGGAACATAATGTTTGGGAGGAAAGCTTTTCATTTTGCAGCCTGGCCGACTGTTCCATTTTCTTGTGCTGCAGCCCTCCCTTCATGCTCCTTGCGCCGCGTGAGCTTAAGAGACCACATGAAGCTGGTGGCTGGACATGCTGGAGTCTCTGTGGCTGGTGAAGAACTTGAGCAAATCAGAACTGGGGAGCAATGGCTTATCACACAGACCCCCTCCTGCATGGGTTCATGTTTATATCAGGGCCTACACCTGCACTCTGACCGTCTTGATCTGATATCCAGCCTGCTGCGCGAGCTGAAGGTTCATCGCCTTCTACATGCTTCGTCACTCGAAGCAGCTTTGCGCCCAGTTCTGGATCTTGGCTTTGCTTGATCACTTCCTTAACAGCGATCCTTTTCGAGTTTGAGTCAGCCGAGGTATTCCAAAAGCTTGAAGGCATAATTTCTAAAGTTTCACCAGGCTCCACTCTTGTCAGTATGAATTATTGGTGACGGAGATCATGCGCATGACATCAACGACTGCGAAAAGGGCGTATTGCCTTTCCGCAGAAGCGAAGTCCAGAACGTGTGCCATCGTCAATGCGGCATGTAAAGGAGGAGCCTGTGCGTGGCGTATCACGCGCCAATGAAAAAGAGTTGCAGAATATCTGCACCGAGAGGTACACCACCAGTCCACTCATCACGGGTGGAGTAGCAGAGGACCAGTTTCACCAGCTGTGCATGTGAATGCGCAACAAAAATCCTTGTCAAGCACGGGAAGACCCACAATTTGCGTTTCCCAGGCTTGTAGTCGCGCTTGGAAATTCTTTGTGGATTTAGCATTAAGATTGTGCATGTTACCTCTCTCGCCAGAAACGGTGTCGCAGTAATCAGTAGTCCACAGGGCGGCAAAGGATTCTCTGAATCTATGAATTCTGTGCAGGCACTTCCACCGGCTCCCACATCGGCTATGTGGTTTGCTTCCAAAGCTGAGGAGCTGGAGAGGCCACGAGCCCCAGCAACTTTCGGCGCATCAGTGATAGGAATTGAGACTCTACAGTAGCAATTCCTGGTTCTCCTATCGACTGTAGCAAGAATCAGCTTACAACTATTTGATGGCGACTGTCTGATGGCCAGATCCAACCACCTTCAACTTGTAAACGCTTGTCTTTTGGAGTTCCGCAGTTTTATGATACCACTTTCGGCACCTTTCTGTTGGAAGGTGAATGTATCCTGAAGGTTCACAACCCTCGCATTGGCTGAACATTACCGTCGTCAAAAAAGATTAAAATACTAAACCTTCTACCCAAACTTCTGAGGCGGCGTAGTCGAAGTGCTGACCGGTCGCAGGTGGCCGTAACTTGAGAAAGCTCGGCGTGGTGCAATTAGTATGTGGCTCTGTACACGCGGGAGGGCACTATGAACTTGAGGATCCACTGACAAGTTTTCTTCAGTGTGTTCAGTGGAGGATATAAGATCAGGGTGCCGGACTTCAAATTTACGAGCACAGCACATGCAGCTTTCTCGACTTGTGAGTCTGCAGCTGGCACCCCTACCCGATCATGCTCATCGGATTTAAGTTGAGTCTGCAGCTGTAAAGCTTCGGAAAAAATCACAGACAATTTTCAGACTGATCTTCGAAGATCTTTGCCAGGCGCTGGGCTTCGCCTCTGTGTGGCCGCCTCCGCCGCTGCCCCCTCTCTCCGAGGACCACTCAAACGCAGGCCAAGTAGGAAGGCCGTTAGGGATGTTGTAATAAGAAATCCAAAAGGGATCACACGCATATCCTTGATGTCTTAGCTTTGTAATTCTGATTCTAACGGAATTTACATGAGCAAACCTAATGGACATCTCAGTAGAATTACGGATGTCCTGCATTTTCTAGGTTGTGGATTTCTGATACTTTCCAGACTTCTATGATTGTTCGTAATTTTGTTTCGGCACTAATTTGCAAAAACAAGACTCGACAGCAAATTTAAGTAATTGCATTGTAATTGCAGTTTGTTTTATGTTTTATTTATTGATTGACCTCTTTTCAATTCTATAAGATGTTTGACAGAGAACTGTCTCATAGAAGAATCGACAGGGATCTCTAATTTGCATTAAGGATTGCCTATATTTCATTAAAGAGGCCCCTGTTTCATTCTTTGGAATAAGTCCACCAAGAATAACAAACAAATTTCGGGCACATGTCCTATTGCCGGGCTAGAGGGCAGGGGTTACAGCTTGTTCTTTAGACAACTTCCAGGAGCTGCGGCAGCGATTGGAAAGGCTGGAGGTGCATGAGCTCTTGTCTAAAGAGGGACGCGTCTTGTACAAATAGTGACGAACATGGTGTGGACGTACGCAAGTGATGCTGCGCGCGTGATGGACAGGGAATTTGCTTGTGGCTCTTAGGTTTCTGCCGGGCATGTCTGGACCGCGCAAATTTTATTATAGCGGATCTTGAAGAGAAGCTTGGATTCCATTTTCTTTCCCACATGCGCAGGTATGTTGACTACTGCTTGTCCTGAGTCTCACATCCAACGCCAAGCTTTACATGGCAAGATTGTCCAACTCTTTCTGCAATGGAAGGGGAGCTCACGTCGCGCGTCCTGCTTGAGCGCGGACGCCCTGACACTCCGCCTCCAACGGCAGTGCGAAGTCAGGAGACTCGTGTTGACTTGGAGGCAAGGGCACATGGCGAGTCTTGTAGAGACTTCAGACCGGCCACCGCTTCCAAAATCAGCGTGCAGCTTGTGGAGCAAACTAAGATGGATGATCCCGACAAGTTCAAGATCTGGGAAGTTGGAGGGCGAGCGAACACTCCCAACTCTTTCTGGCGTGAACAGAGGCAGTACGAATCTGCAGCGCAAGGCTTCTCTTTTACTGCCTCGCGTGGGATGCCATGGCCAAATCTGTCACACACGAGAGTGCGAGCCATGCAAGAGAAGGGACACATGCGTGCTCTGCTGCTTGGGTCAACACCTGGGACAGCGACCGATCTGCGGAATCTTGATGGTTACTGGATCTCCACAGATGGGGAGCTACGAGGTCAGGTGGAGGGAGACGTATTCTATTGGGACTGCGACGGCTCCCGCTCTCGGTTGCGCTTTGGCGGCGAACGCCAGGAGATTGTCTCCCTTGCAGTGGATGGCTGCCGCCACTTTGCAGCGCTCAGTGAGGATGGGCGCCGCCTGCTGTGGGCAGATGGAGACATTTGGGTTCGCCATGACGAGGAAGCGCAAGCCTTGGCCAAAGCTGTGAAGGACCAATGTGGTGACTGTGAGTCGAAGCCTCAGAGAAGAGATACCGCTCCTTTGACTGTCTGCAATCTTTATTAGCAAGACAGGTTCGACGACGCTTCCCAGCCCGTCGGCAAGATGCTTGGTCGTTTGCAAGTCACACCAAGCCTACCTACACTACTTCCACGAGGTATTCTGAACCTTGCCAAATCCTGAAAAATCTCCCGTATGCTAGAGCAACTATACGTCATACTTCGTAGTCTTCAGCACAAACCTCACTCTCTGCCGCCCCAGTCTTAGGGTGGTCGAAATGGAAACTCCGCTGGCGGCCAAACTCCGATGGCCCTGCGTGGCCAAGGCTGAGCCTACCATGCACAGAGGTCTGCACCGATTTATCCCTACTTAAGACAGAGGTTACATGCCACATGCTCCCGAATTGGCCTGGTGTTTCTGTGGCTGCACTGCTGCACTCGTCGTCTTGGCTCCAAGCCTCGGCGTGACAATGCTTGAGCCACAATTAGAAACCGATTCTTGGGAGAAGTCCTCATATCCGCATGTGAAGAAGCTGAAGCTTCCCTGGTAAATGCTCCTTGTAGGATGCTATTTCATGCTGATAGCTAGCTGGGGGTTGGCTCTTCCCTGTCCATGAAGCCTGAAATCAGTCGGCTCCCCAGCCTGTTCGCAAGTTGCTTTCTGCACACAGTGCGCAATGGCATCCATGGTGCGCTCCCCATGAGGATGGCTGGGAAGGTGGGCAGAGTTGCGGTGATCCTGAGAGCCCGTAGCTGAAACTGGTACCGATGGCAGAGAGAGATAAACGGAGTTGAAGTGTGCTCCGAGGTTAATGCTCCAGGCAAGAGCGCCAAAATATGTTCTCCTCCGGAGGGTCGGCGTCTCGGATTGGGTTTCGTGCAGAGCCTAGAGCTTTGGCTTCGCGAAGGCGATGACTCCTTGTGGACCAAGAAGCCTCTCCAGCTTTGTTTACTCAGATTTGAATGCAAGTTTACCATTCAATGCCAACTGGATGAACTCCGAACATCATTCAGGTTAGCTTCGCAGTTTGAATCAAAGCGAGAGCCCGCCTGGCCTTGTTCTGCCAGGCTCTGCTCAAGGTTACAGCCTCTGGAAGCCAACGCTTTCGGTTGTTGCCTTCTTGGCAGCCTGGCTGAGGTGTGGAGAAAGTTGTCTTTGGTGTTTACACTTGAAATATTATGTCAATCTCTGCAGGTGAGCTCGCACCTCTGGCAACACCAGGTCTCCTTAGCTTCCGCTTAACCGAATTCCGCTTCTTCCCTGGGCTGCCAGGCCTTGTGGCTTCGTCTACACATGGCTGCGGAGTCCGAGTGCGAGCACATTACCGTCTTGACCTGAACAGGGCATCTTCGAAAGTCTGAGAGCCTGAAGGTCTTGATCCCCAGAACGGCATGTTTCTGCCATAAGGTTCAGTTCTCCGAGCTCATCGACCCTCTGGCGGACTTCACCACATGGCATTATGTCGAAGCCTGATGGACTCCGCATGCAGTGTAAGTGCCCTCCTGCTCAGTACGATATACTCGAGAGCAATCTCCACTCTTGATGGGAAGCACAAGAAGGAACGGCGTGCACCAGTCTTTCAGAGACACAGCGGGGGGAGTCTGTAAAACCCTGTAAAACCAAATGAATAGATTTCATACTCCCGAGTCGTGGAAAAGGCTAAGCAGGCCTGGAACCTTCATGAATTCGTGCATTGTGTAGCAGTATGTTGGTCAGAGATCTGTGCTCGGGCACCCACTGTCAGGCTTGAATATCCAGGCAGATGCCTGAATGTTTGGACTAGAACAGCAGACGCGCAGACACAAGTACCCATATCACCCTTTGCAGTACGACTCGTTCAAATCCCCACGCAGAGTTGGACACAATCCCACCTTGCCACCACAAGCCCCAACAGCAGACATTGCAGATCCTCCTTGACCGGAGTCGTAGTTAGGCTGCTTTAAGTAGGCCCAGGCTCGCACTGGAAGCCTGTACCGCTTAACCAGGCCTGATGACAAGTTAGCCCAATCAAGTCTGATTGACCTCAATCCCTGAAGCTGGGCTTTTAAGTATGCTCAGTGCGTGAGAGCCATGGCGCCCTGCGCTGATTTCTGTGTGGGCGACCTCGTTCGGCTGGTTGACCTCAACAAGGAGTTGAGAGTTGTTTATCCATTTAAGCTTCTGTGCACTTTGTCAAAGGATTTCGGAATATTGCTGGGTCTTGATCTTACACGGAGATAGCATGTTATAGTGTAGAAAACAGAGCAGTGCATCTGAGTAATAACTTGGGGATACTACTGACCTCAACACCAATATAGAGTAAGATCATATTCTCCTTCGGAGTAGAATAGTTTGTATGAAGAAAAAAATCAAACCATACTGGGTTCAACCGCCAAAAACTTGCTATTCATCTCACGCCAAGAGGAAACTGATTGGGTTGTGGATTTGTTGTTGTGGAAACCTTCTTGATTCCTGCTAGCAGGAAACGCAAGAACACCCTCAACACATAGTCTGTGCGTGAGCCTGGAATCCTCTGAAGTCTGGCCGTTTAGCATGTCTGAACATCTTTCATGCCAGCGATGCTGCAGAGACGACCTTTTTCGGCCTACCCGTCTGGAGTTGACAACCCTGATGGAGGCCCCCTCATCTGAGGCAATCCTGCAAGATGAGCATCCCTCACAGCCTTGCATGTCTAGCACAGTTTCCGCTTTCCAAACACAGCGGAAAAAGTTCCTGGGCACTTACGGCTTGCATTGAGTTCCTGTTGTCCGCTATGCCTTTTTACCCTAATCATCAACATCTGCCTTCCGACCAATGAAAAGCCGAAGCAAGACCTTGACCTTCAAATCATTGCCAACGCAAAACATCTTTGAATCAGCAGGAAGACTACAACCACCATGTGGGGCGGGTTGTTGCCCCGGCTGTCAATAATGGGCGGATTGGTGTCTCTCTGCATGGTGCCATCTGGCAGCCGAAGGAAGTCCCCGAAGGTAGCTGGTTTGCAGCTGATCGCTAGACACAAGATCGGGCTTCTTGAAGCTGCATCATGGAGGCTGCTAGATTTCGCTGGGGCCTGTGCTACGGGACATAAAGTCGGAGATCGCCGAAGCTGATAGCAACATCTAGGGATGTTCACTACGGGCCAACTAAGGCAAGTATGGCCGTCCGCGACCAGAGTGACTTTGCTGTTGAGGTGATGTCAGGCCTAGGCTGTACTGTCATAGTGTTTTTTTGCCCAAGCCGCTGGAAGCTTGTATCGGACAGTCGAGTCAACTTTCAACCATTCTGTCACGCTGTGCAACAGGATCAATGCTTAGCGGTGCAACTCTCCCATGCTTGCTTGTATACTTGAGGTATGATCCCCTCAGCTTCAAAGTGCAGAACTTGCGCAAGGTCACGCCACTTGTCTCAGACTTGTGGGCTCAGACCCCAGTGAAAAGGTATTCATGCAAGGCAAGGTGCTCCAGAGCGCTGTTGTGCTTTTTTCTCTTCTGTTCTATCTCAGGCTCCCTAGCCCCATGCATTCCATGGGAATTCTGGGCAGCATTGGTCCTACCACCACAGGAAGGCTCAAGCATGTTTGCAGAGCTGTTGGAATCCTCAGTTCCCAAGTCTGATGTCAAGCCTATCCCAGGTTTTGAACTGCGCCCCCCTGCGTCCCCCTTCAAACCTTCCTGGTGAGTGGTTTGAAGGCTTCTTGGGGACCGCGGATGGGGCCTCCCGGAAAACGTGGTAGAGCTTGTCGCAACTTGGGTGCAAGAGCTGGTCGGGTTCTGTAATGGAGGCCGTTTCTGTGGAGCATGGAATCCGTCAGCAGTGCAAGTGTGTCACGTCGCACGTAGGTGTCGCACCTGCAAATCCGCAGTGTGCAGGCAGACGAGGTGAGCTGCTCCTAGAAAGCTGCATTTTCCATGTTTTTGGAGCCATGTGACTTCTGCAATTCACAGCAGTCATGAGCGATCAGGGCTGTAGGGACGCGGGTTACATTGCTTGCAGGTTCGAGTGACTGGCTGCTCATCGGGCAGGTGGGGCTCTTGCAATGCGCGCCGTGAGACCATGGCCACAGAGTGTTGCTGGTTGATTTCGTCGAGGGAAGACTTCGACATCTCTGTGGCCTGTCTCTCAGACGGCCCAGGTACACAGGGAAGCATCGAGAGGTGATGTTATGTTGTGTCAGGCTCTGAATGATCGAGAGGATGAATGGTGGATTTCAGAATCGGGCAGCTGCCCAGGCAAGCCCAGTTCGCACAGTGTTACATGGTGTCACTGTGTCACCTTCATCCTGCTGCTTGAGTCTGCGAGGAGGAGTCGGTGCAGAATACCTTGACTTCTCCTTTGATGCTGTCAGACGTGTTAGCTTTGTAGCGGTGAAGATTCCACCGCTACCCCATGGACCGCTTTCAGTGCTGCTAGGCATGGAATTGTGTGGGTCAGCATGCCCGAGCATCTTGACGATTAGTCTGGTAAGTGAGATGAACCCAAGGCGTGACTTCCATCTCCTGGCTGGTGGTAGCAGCGAGTCTCCTGAAAGCTGGATGCCCGCTTCACCAGTTCCCCTGCAGACGCCACTTGGGCGCCAGAGTGATTGTTCTACAGACTGCAGTTGCCATGCCTGAGCTGATTATTGTGTGTGTTGCTCAGGTTGGATCGAGCTGACCTGCGTCTCGCCTCATGTCGTCTTTGTAGTGTGAGGTGAAGGAAGGTGAGTCCTTTTGCCGCCAAGGCAGGAGTTCGCAATCGTTCCGCCTGTGGAAACGCAGACGCTACGGTTAGTTTGCACACGTAATGCCGATGCTGCTTCCGGAAACAGACGCCGATTTCTTGGCCCAGTACTTAGCAACACTTGGTCTGATGGAAACAGACAGCTGTGTCAGCATCATCGATGGTTGCTGGAAGTCAACACGAGTGCCGGCATGAGTGTGCCCTTCCACAGTAGAGTACTATGTAATATGTTGAGACGAATCCAGCTCAACAAAGGCTGCTACCTCAAAAGCGCAATCCTCTCGCGCAAACAAAGTAATTACTCAGTTGTAGATTGAGTGAACTATGAGTTGCTGGCTCCAACTATTCGAACTTGCTCCTCAGAAGAACACAGGGTTTTTGCTGTTTATGGCTGCTGACTGTTTGCACAATATGTACTAGCAGGAGCATGTAAACACCCCTTTCAGATTCCTCCATGCTGAGGCTCGGCAAGCTGCATCGGGCTCTTCCAGGCACTTGGCTGAGCGAGTCTCCAGTTCACATGTCAGCAGGTGAAGTCACGAGGGGAAGGCTTGATGCTGCTATCTTTGCACGGGCTAGCAGCTAGCATTTGGGTGTGTACAGGCAGCAACTGAAAGATGGTAGTAACTGCTTTCACATTGGGTGCCGCCAGTTCTGTGTGCCACGAGGTTTCCTTCGCTTAGCTTGGGCTTAGAAGGCCCAGTTCAGACTGAGTGGAGCTTAAGCTGAAATTGGTGACGCAGCTGTAAATCCCCTGGGCTCCGTCTGGAGGGTACTTGTTTCCTGTGGCAAGAGCCCGCCCAGAAGCCGTCGCTTGGCTGAACTCTAAGCCAGGCGGCTGGAATTTTAAAAGCGCACAAATTTTCTGAGCAGTGTTAGACGAGGAAGGATTTGTACATGGCATGGGGAATCTGTTTGCAGAGTGCTGGCATGCGGCATCTGAGCAGAAATCAATGACAGACAAACTCATTTTGGGTCCTGCCATGCGACAGGGTGGCTGATTTGCCTCCTCCTCCGCTACCATCATGGGGACATTGCACTAAAACATGCATCTAATTGCGCTTGGAATTGCGAGAGGCTACTTGCACTACGCAGCTGCCGCTGCCACTGCTTTTGCGATCATCACCGCCACCACTATCGTCACTACCCCTCGCTTCTATGTAAGCTGCCACGGTCATGTTGTCTCCTTCAGTGACTCCTAGCTTGTGCTTCTGACTTTGACTTGTCGTGCTGAAAGTCTAGATGGCTGTTCTCCATGTGTCGAGACTGCATAATATTTTTCTTGAGAATTATTCTACCGTATTTCCTGCTGCTTTGCTGTTGTCTTCTCCAAAAGGATGCTGATGGTGATGATGCTACAGTTGCTGATGGTCATCGGGGTCATGATGAGGGTTCTAGCTGCATAGCTATCCACTTCTATCCATTTGCCGTGTCAGCCTCGGCTGCTCGTTACTAGGGCACACGGAAAGATCCAGCGAACCAACTGGTTTGTCGAGCAAAGTGAAGGTCTAGAAGAGTCAGTTCAACAGTATCATCAAGTCTTCGTGTCTAACAGCTAGGCAACGCGAAGCAGCCAAGAGTTAGATCACTGCATACCTAAGCTCCCTTTTCAGAACCAGTTGGGCATTGGATGTCCTGACAGCACGCTCAATTTTCGTTGTGCGCTCTGACAAGTGACTCAAAGCCAGAACTGCCTTGCTGGGATCTTGCCATGTGGCAGCTCAATCCTGTGACAAAAGAAGTTGCTGCAAAGCAGTGATTGCCTTTGCTTGGCTTGGGGCGCGTCAGGATCCTGAAGCGCATGGAGGCTGTGTCCCTGAAAGAGCAGTCATCAGTGCCAAGGCCAACGAAGTCTGCTTGGAGGATGAGGAGCTTCTGCCTTGGCTTGTTGCCACATACTTACTCTGAGCTGATTGGGGCAGTGCCTCCTGCTGAGGATGCTGCTCCCCCAGAAAGGTGACACACGCGTGATCATCCATGTGCATGCATCTTTGTGAGTCTGCAAGCGTCGTAGGAAGTTGCACAGTTGCAGCGCAAACCGCGGCTTTCTATGAGTGATGGGTTTTGGCTGCAGAAGTAGCGCTGATGGTCCACGTTACAGTTCGGAATGTCGGCGGCCAAGAGCTGCAGCTGGATGCAGCTGATTCTGACACTGCCGTTCACGTGAAGCAGAAGATTCAAGCCGAGTGGGGCTTTCCTCCAGTGTGCCAGGAGTTGCTATTCAAATCAACGGTTCTTGCAGATGCCCAGAGATTGCCCGAGAGTGGCGGAGAAGTGGAGTTGCTTCTCATCTGCTCCTTGCGGGACATACGTGCAGGTCTGGGCAGTACCAGCGTCGTGCATCGAGCTTCAGCCTTGAAAGACCTAGCCACGCTTCGAGGGGGTTATGCTGGCGCTGTGGACTTGGCGCTCGAGCGTCTTGAGGAGACGCAGCCGAAAGCAGCTGCAAGTTACTTGCGTAAGCCGGTCGGTAATTTTTTGCGTCGCAGTTGCTGCGCATGATGCCTGACATTCAGGATGATAAACGCTCACGTGCGAGACCGTGCAGTGGAAACCATTCTCTAGGCATTTTGGGGCAGCATGATCAGCACCCAGCTAACTTCATCTTCTAGATTCTGGATTACTCTTTCCATGGATGTAGTGGAGGCAACTGCACAGATCTTAACAGTAGATGTTGTCAGGTTGCTGAGATCGGCAGCCCAGCAGTCCTAAATGCAGGGTGCCGCTTGCGCCTTGATCGCCCTGGTACAGGTCGAAACATTTTGGGTTTCATATTTCTTAGGGTATGTGTGGGGGTGGATGGTTTGGGAGCTTGAATTGGTGTTTCAGGGGTGTCAGAATGACTCCAGACTTTGCCTGCAACAGCCCCAGGCTTGACACCCAACGAGCTGAGTTGGGTGTGAGGCTGATAGCCGGCATTGCCCACAGAGGCCATCGGAGTGCAGTTGAGGGGTTTTGACTTGTTCAGTTTGTTCCCTTTTCTTAGCCGATTACAGCCTGCATCCTGGGCCATTCCTGCCGAGTCGAACAGGATTTGGTGAGTTTTTTTTTTCAATTTCCGCCTTTCCAAAACTCCCTTATGGCGAAGCCATCAGACTATATCTCTGTTCAGGTCATGAAGCCTGCATCTCGCACATCCTCCGCTGCCTTGAGCAAGGTGACGAGGCCGACAAGTGATTCCTCCTCTTGTGCAATACAGGCCAAATTAATGCTAACGATTAAGACGTAGCAGAAGCAGTGGAGACAGTACTGGCAATCATCATGAGAGTGAACATCCAGTAAGAGGGTCACCGGACTGCAAGGGGGATACCCGTCCTCCATCCTTGGTCGCAGGCGGTTCGCCAGTCTTGCGTGCGCGCCCTTGGATCGCTCACAGAACCAGGTGGCTGTGCCAAGGGGGCTTAGGGTTTTGTTCTACTCGTGAGGTTACTAGGGGATGGATCCATTCCTGGGTTCAAGGGTCTGGCAGCACTCGCAAGACTTCGACAAGCATCTTGTGGTTGGTTGTGGGTTTGGATTTTGAAGCCTCCAGTTGGGCTTGCAAGGCACCCTGGGTGGTGCTCTAAGGTAATGACAAAGTCAAAGCTATTCTCCTGGACCGGCTGCAAGACCCAGACAAGGAATCTCGACTGACCAGACAGGATCCTCACTGCCCAGGACCGTAGCATCTAATCAATCTAAGCCACTGGGTTTGAGATTGGCAGGGCTTTATCCACGCAATCAAATTCAGCGTCCAAGCCTCGTGCCAAAAGTAAGGAAGGCTTCCTCAATGTCAGGATCGAGGCCTTGCGCAGCTTGGTTCAGATTGTGCCGAAGGAGGATCTGGAGGTCTTGTCGGCTGCTGTTGTCCATGTCCTTGACGATGCAAACTGTTACACCCGAAGAGCCGCGAGTGAAGCGATTCTGCAACTGTTGGATGCGCGATCCAGACAGTCTGTTATTGGCTTGCTCTGTGTGGGGCTGGAGGATATTGTGCTAAAGGAGGACTGGCAGTTGTGCTTCGACTTGCTTTCGAAGCTCGCCGGACATGCAAATGGCAGAGAGATTGACATGTTGGTCGGCAGCCTCTTGCCACTGCTGAAGGCAAGGAATCCGGATGTGACGCTTGGCTCTACATTGGGTCCTCCTTGCAAGATGTTGTGGCTGGTTTTAGGAGCTTTCGCTGCTGGCAGTCTTGTGCATTCTAGCAAGAATGACCGCTCACGTGCTTGACCAGGCAGCGGTCAGCTTCCATTGCTCTGCTTCCTCTTGTGCTCCCCGAAGCAGATGCTGCCAACATGCGGAGTCGTCTTCACGAGCAAGGGTTCTTGGTCCCCAGCGACATCCTGGACAATCTGGGCAGATGTGCTGCGGACCGGCTTCGTGATTCTGCTGCCCACCCACGGGAGGCCTTCGGAGTGAGTTGGCCTCTCAGGCGCCCAGATGGCTCGGATGTACAGGATCCCGTGCTGGGGAAAATCTGTTCGCTCTAAACTGCTTTGCTAATGTCGTGTTTCTCCCGACTTCTAATCTTGCCAGGTAGCAAAGTGTCGCTCTCCGTCGAGCTTACAGCCATCCACCTGGCCTGTCAGGAGGCGACAAGATGGGCTTCAGCAGTGCAGACCTGGGTCATTTTTTTTCGGCGTAGCAGGTCCTGGCTCAGCCAGAGATGTCCTGCTTGCTCAACAAGCAGCCTACGCCTCGGGTGAAAAGTTCCACTCAGTGACCTTCTTCCGTCCAGCTGCAGCTGCAACTACTCAGCTCTGCGCGGAGGTCTCGAGACCTGAATGCCTACCGCCTGACAGTCTCCTTCGGCCGAGGCCAAATGATATCCTTGTCTTCTGTGGCTTGCAATCTGATGGGAGCCTGCCTGTGGAGGCGTGCTAGGGTCTCAAGCCCACTCCTTGACCCAGGACGGGCTGCATGCGAGCATCTGGCTGCGGACAACGGAATCATTCAGCTGAGATTTGACACAGCCTGGAGCTTGAGGATGTGCGTAAGCATGCTACGAAGTATTTGCACCCTGTGACCCAGGTAGAGCACCAGCTGCCAATGCAAAGGCTCACCTGCGCCGCTTTGCCAAATTCACCAAGAGTCACCAACACAGGTGTTTGGAAGCTGCCAGGTCTTCTGAAGACCTGCAGGTCACCCACACGTAAGCCCTCTCAGTTTTTCTCCCCTTCATGCTGCCTGGAGAACGATGAATATTTCATTTTCCAATACAGCACAGGTTGCATGTAGCGTTGAGGCCGAATCGCGAAAAATGCGAGTGTAATTGATCGGCTGTACTGTGATTGCTGTGGCAAAAGGCTTGTCATGGCCGACGACATCGCGGAGTTGCCAGAGGCAGGTGGCCACTCGTGGCAAATTTGTACGTCGAAATCTCCTCTTCTCAGTGTCACTTGTCTGTGTGATGGCAACTACTGGATCATTGAGCGTACAACCTAGAATACATCGGAGGCCCTCTCCGCACTTCAGGCTAGCCGCCCAGCGATTGAGCGAGAGAGAGTCGCCAGTGCATTCAGTGCAGTGTGAAACAGCTTCTTGGGTACCTTAAGCATAAATCTAGTGTCAGTGTGTTTAGGGCAGCCTTGGAAGCTGAGGTGTGTTTGCAAGTTTCTGATCCAGGGTGCCCTCCTAAGGAGCTACAGGATCATATGCTGATAGTGCTGCCCGTTCCAATCTCCAGAGAAGTGAACTTGGTTCCCAGGGGCTCCGGCGAGCAAGTGGAGCTTCCGGTAGATCTGTGGCGTCCCGAGAGTTCAGCACGCTCGGTAAGGTTTCGGAACAGCTTCCTGTGTATCTGGTCCTGAGGTCTCCCTTGGTTGCTTGCTGCATGCCAGAAGGTGGTTCCGGTGAGGTGACAGCTGAGGCTGGGCCTGGAAGGAATATTTGCTCCCGATATGCTGTAAGTGGCATCCTAGTTTGTGGGCACTTCTTATTGGTCTTGGACATTATTTTCCGGTGCTTGTGATAGTTTTGTGAAGCATTCGTCCCTTGTGTTTTTTGCCCAAGAGCTTTGGGTGTGAAATCGCTTGTGACTTTGTGAAATCGGGCAACCCAAAAGCCGCTAACCTTTTAACCTTGATACCTCAACCCCTCCCTAAACCCTAAACAAGCGCAAAACCATGAAATCAAAAAGGCCTTAATCATCCTTAAGCCCAAATCCTCTAAAGCCCGACAAAAAATCATAGAACCCTAAGACACCAGAGCCTAAAAACCCCTCAAGCCATTCAAACCAAAAGGCCAAATAATTCCCTAAACCCTTAAACACCTATACGGTTACGCGCCCTTAGATCCCGAAACCCAATCCCCCATCCGCGCCTTCCCCGCCACCTGCCGCACAAATAGACAGCAACGACACTTAACCCGCAACACCCTGAAGCCCAACAGTCAGAAAAAGCTTACGTAAGCCCTAAAACACCAAAGACACCCAAAGTCCAAAGCACCTGAACCCAGCAGGCTCTAAAACCTAAAGCGCTGAAAGAGCTAAACCCGTGCCTGGATTGTTTAAGTGACTGCTTGCATAAATCCTCAAACCCCTGAGCCCTGAACACCAAAACCACACATGCATTAAAACAAAAACAGAAACCCGAAAATCCTAAACCGCCCGAAACATCCAGCGACACAAACTAATACCGAATCCCTCTCGCGGATAAGATGCGGTGAGCCCTCATGAAAACAGTATCTGATCATCAGCAAGTATGTGATTTGCTAGCTGTGTTTGTGTGTGCGTGAAAGCGTTTTGTAGCGCTCGAGCACACGGCATCTTGGGAGGCATCCAGGAGGGATCCAGTCACAGTTGATGTGGTACTTATTCGCAAGTGACGGGCATTTTCAGCCGCAAGTGATTGCCCTGCTAAGAACCGGCCGGAAACTGTCCTGTCCGAGGCGTTGTGGTAGAAACTTGCGGCTTTGTGCATCTTCACCATTCTCATTTTGAAAAACAATTGCACAAGACAAGCAGGCAAGCCCTCGAGCAAGTCTAGATTTTTGTAGGTGGAGAGCAGCGCGCTGCCAGCCATCGGAGGAGGCAGCGACGTCTTTCAGAGCCCCATTTCCTAGAGGATGGTAAGGGATGAGGCTGGTGTGTGCCAAGGGCGAACCCATAAACCGAGGTGTGCCCTTGCTGGCCACCCTTGAACCTTTCAGCTGGAGCGCGAACCACGGCGAGGCGCGGTCTGCAAGGCCTGTATACTAGTGTAGAGGGAGGTTCGTAGTCTCTGTCATGCCCTGCTTGAGCATCTATGTGGTTGCTGTGGTTCGGACAGCGGCAATCGTTATTGGTATTTGTTGTCCAGCGTGATGATTTCTAGCGCATTTCATCAGGATCTCCTACCAGGCCGGCCGCGAGATGCAGACGTCTGGGCTGCAGGCGCAGCAAAGGGACATGACATTGTCGTTTGCCGCCCTCGCCCAGTCATAGCCTGAAGCTGGACTTCGCAGGGGCGCGTCTGCTCGCCGTCGGCCTGAGGCCTGATCGAGATGGAGAGCTTTCGAAACGGACGGAAACTGTTCCCTGTGAAGGCTCTGGCGGTTGTCTATTGAGGTCAGATCAATCAGGCTCTGCAAGTCCTTACTGTCTGCGAGAAGACCAGCGACATAGTCTTCGCTGCAGAGGCTGAGTGCCCGTGATGCTAATGTCTACGTTTCTTATTCATACCCGTCAGGAACTTGGCAGTGAACGTGCAAAGCATCGTCTTGAATTTTCATGCATGTTTACGGAGGATGCCGCTGTTCCTTCCCTGATGACTCTGCTGTTGAATGTTGCTTCAAGGCCTCTGCATCAGCCCAGGGCATTTCGAACGAGCCCGCTATTGACTCAGCAAGTTTGGCATGTAAGGATTCATGCCATCGTAGCAGAAGTGCCGAGGCCGACCCCAGTTCGGAAGAAGGCAGCGGAGTAAGTCGTACGCGACATTGCCTCGTCCAGCAGCGCTTGCATCAGGTGACAATGAACCTGCCCCATGCTTTTGCAGCGCACGTGGTGACAGTGAGCTTTGACGAGCTGGAGGCTGGACAAGCCCAGTGCCACAACAACAGTTTGTCCTCATCCCAAATTATCCATAGACCTATGGTAGCGCTTTCACGTTCTGGGAGGTGCTTCTGCAAGATCCGTTGATAGTGGAGGCGTGACGGGTGTCACTTTGCTAGAAGAAGATTTGTGCGAAGAGCCCTGCAGCTCTCTTACAGGTCTGGCACCGCGACGTGTATCGCAAGGACTTGTTTGCAAAAGATGGGTTCAGGGTACATGATACGAGAAACAGGATGTGAGTCGTAAAGTCAAGGTCAGGGCGTGAATACCGGGAGCTTGTGCAATCACAGCGCTTGAACTTTCGACATTTCGGTTAGATCAATGTCTCGAATTCGAAGGGTGTTCAGACTTGCGCAAGGACAGCGTCGTGGGCGTTGCAGAGGCTTCGCTCAGTGCGGCCCTTATTCTTTCAGGTGGCCCGAGCTTCGCTCGGTGACCTTTTCAAGGAGGAGGTGCGGATACCGAGATGTAGCGGTCTAGGCTTGCAGAAAGTCAGCTTCCTTTGTTTGCGCATATCCTTGCAGCCTTTTCTGTCCAAGCCCTGCGAATTGTAGGATCCTTGGCAGCATGTCAGACCAAGATGAACAAGAGGAAACGGAGTTCATCGAGGATGTAGATGACGAAGAGTCGAACTCCCAGGCCTGGAGACAGGGTGAGCCTTCTAGAGACAATGAGTAAATCGCTTTCTAAGAAGCTCAAGAATTCCATTGACGTTCTACTGTTGCCGTGCCTCAAGACTTCGACTCTGGAGAGGTTCTGGTAAGATTAGGAAGTCAGGCAATGAAAGATTTGGATATCCACACGGACAGTCTGAGCAACAAGACCTGCCTTCATTGTGTTGGTCTTCGACAGAGGATATCTATTTCCTCACAAGGGCTTGATTTCTGAGCTGGCGACAGCGCCGAGACTATTGAAATTGAATGAGACCACATCCTGAAGTGATACATAAAATCCCGGGCATTCACTTTAATACCCGTGAAATTCCTCAACCCCAAGCTGCTTTCTAGATCCTCACTTCTTTGCATATGAAATTTCCTACTGTTGATCGTGAACCCAGTTTGGACACCCAGGCGGAGGAGACAGAATCAGATGCCATAGATGACGACGCCTCCGAATTAGTAGAGGCGGATGCGGCACTGGAGAAGTATGAGGCCAGAAATTCCTGTAACTATCAGTGGGTACTCGGAATACCAGGAGAAAGGATGCCATGATCTTGGCGTGAAGCCGGCAGGACTCCTATTTTTAGATGCTACAAATTGAGGTCCGAGGCGTCTAGCTAACGTCTTGATCCACAAAGGGCACCGTAGAATTTGTAGAAGAGCTCCTGGTTTCATGAGGCACAGCGGTCCCAGTCAGGTGTTGGCGGAGCAATGCATGTGAGGTGCTCGTGTAATAGGACTTTTGACCAGGACTTGTAGTGGTGAGCTTGAGTTTTTCAGATGCAGTCTGGGGCGTCCAAGCCCAGGAACCCGTTAGGGCACTCTTGTGGACCATCAGTTGGCGCTCCCTTGAAGGTAGTCTATGACCAAAGCATTGACAAAGTTGCTTTCCCGTACGATGTAGTGGAGGAGGTCCAGCGAACTTGGGAGGCTTTTCTGCAACACGCAGGTTCCCCTGAGGCCGCGGGCGAAATCATTTTCAATTGCTGGTGGGAGGCCGCCCCCTCCCTCCACTCGTACTTCGTATCGCCTCGGGCGGTCCTCTTCCTTCGCATCATTCATGGCATAAGCCCCTGTGTTGCAGCTATGGGGAACGCCACTCAGCTCAAAGTGGAGGTGGAGCAGATCAGCTTTCGGCACCTGGACAGACCGGTAAAGCCAGCAGCTGTGGACATTGTGCGTGAAGCCATGCTGGATATGTGGGAGCAGGAGCTGGGCTCCAATTTCACCAGACGGGCTCGGCAAGGGTGGCAGGCCTTGTTGAACTACATGGGTGGTGCCTACTGTTTTGTGGGTCGCGAGTATGCGGGCCGTGTACGAATCATTCAGAGGAGCTGGCGGACAGCAACCTCCAAAGCGATGGAGGAAGAAGAGGAGGGGGTGGAGCCGATGGAAGTTGCTGAAGATGATGTGGAAACCAATAAGCAAGTGGTAACAGTAGACGAAGACGAAAGGGAGCACAGAAGAGACAGGGACATGGATGAGGAGTCTGACCTTGGGGGAAAGACTGCTGGGAAAGAGGTGAAAGTACCAACTACGTTCAGGGATATGTTTCTGTTCAATGCTGCCGTGATGGGCTTCGGCAGCAGTGAATGGATGAATATCATCTTGGAACAGTTTGATGCCGTGGTCGTCAACATCGCGAATTCGTATCGTCTAAGCGAGGAGTGCGACGTGCTCACACTAGTCCTATCAAAGTACGAGGGCACTGTTGTACTGAGCGAGTATCGATCCGTGATGCTGGCCACGCTGCGATCGCTGGCTCCAAAGGAGTGGGACAGTGATCACGAGGCGGGTCATGTCCGGCTGAGTAAGAACAGTAAATTTTCTCCTTTGCAGCACCTGACTTGAGGCTTTCAATGTTCCAGGCAGAGTGGATCACAAGCATACACAGTGTTGTAGAAACAGGGAAGGTGCTGTGGGCTTATACCTCGAAAGGGTACTAGCTCACCCGGGGACTCCCTCACAGGAATGTCAAGCGTCCCCTCAGCACGCTTGCGAAGTGTTGATATGAGGTGAGGCAGTAAACCGGGAGGGTTGAGAAGGACTCCGAAGACTGCAGCCTCAAAGTGGTGGAGTCCACCTCAGCTTGACATATCCAAACTCATGTGCCCCGTCAGCATTGTAAGGTGGCTTGGGGCTGGCTCTGGGAGAACGTGGAGAAGATACTGAAGGCCCCTCCGTCAGCAACTGTTCAGAAGGCCAAAATCCTTGCAAGGTCATGGTGGTACACAATTGTAGCAAATGAAAAGCCACGTCAGAATCTTGCGCCAAGCATCACAACAAAGCAAGCGAGATTTCTTGCAGTCCCGCAATTGCTACTGATTCGTACTATGGATTGTCGGAATTGAGCCAGCTTGACTTCATGGGGTGACTTCAACCTACGCTTGGAATGGTCAAGCGACGGCGATGAATAGAAAGCTGCACCTGTACAATCATCGTTTTCAGTGGAAGGGGCTTTTGAGTGAACATGATGCTGGAGACGGTGCAAAGTGCTTCACGGCATTCTTCTGCACCCTGAGGCCCAAATGGGGAAGCCAAAGATGCAGGAGAAGGCCTTGGAGCGATTTATAGGAGGCCTCTCGGATGAGATGGTGAACTACTTCCGCAAAGAGCTCTACAAGCGCTTCTTCACCAATGCGCCTTCAGGCCAGTAGTGCCAATGCATGAGGGCCGGGACCAAGGCAGCGCCGTTCTTGCCACAGGCCAGGATCACTTCAAGCAATCAACTACGCGTCTGTACTTTTTGGCAGACCGCATGGTCCCGACCTCGGACTTCAGGAGCCTCTCACACTTGAAGCCGTAGGTTGCTGACCTACTTTAAGTGTAGCTTCTCATTTTTGGTAAGGTCAACACACCAAGGTCAAGCAAAGGGCGTGTTCATCCGTTTCTTCATTGTTCCTTCAGCTGCGCATTCGCAAATGCTCTTCCGTTACACTGTTGTGATTGCCTGCTCGAATAGGACACGACCACCAAACAGGCTGAACAAACCCAACAACATACAACCATTTGACGGCTTGAACGGGAACGTCACTTCTTCCCCTCCCACGTTCTTTGAAAGATGTTTTCAGCCAACTCCCCTTGGCTGGCTCCAGCCTGGCTACTGTGGCTTAACTTACTTCATCCTGACGATGTTCCGTCACTTTCGAGTTTTCTAGTTCCATGCACCTGACCTGTTGAAGTAAAAACATTTGCTGAGAGATGTCTTTGGCAACGCCTGCTCGCGAAGGTGGAAACTACAATGGATATGTTCCGTCAGCCCAGGAAGATGGTACAGGACCAGCTGCGACGTTTATGGAGTTCCCGGAGGGTCAAGGGATACCGCATCTGGAGTTCAGGGTAGAAGTTGCTCCACAAACGTTCACAACGTTCGGTTGAGCTATGTTTCTTTCATTCATGGTGCTGCTGCCTTTGAGAATGCCAAAGACCAGGATGCTTTTGTGAGGTTCGGGGATGTAAGGGCTCTTTGTCCACTCACGCCCAAGCAATGCAGGCAAGCCACACATGTATGACTTCTGTAGGAGATCTCCGGTCTGGGCTTGCGGCATGTCGGCTATGGCATCCCCACAGAGCTCTTCGGGCCGTGACTTGAACGCAGACGCAGATCCTCAACAGGCCAAGCACAAGTCAACAAGCTTCTTTCCTCATCTTTGCTGCAATCAGGTATGTGTCGGCTGCCGTGGATGTTGTCCGTTCCATGACAACTGATGAAAATGCCTTGTCTGGGTTCCGGTGGTCCCTCACGCTTGCCTCCAAGATCCTAGTGCGAGCAGTGGGTGAGGGTGCCACGCTCGTCATGAGGGCCATCAACACGAACCAGGTTGCTTCTTGTGTTGGCTGTAGTGCTGTGCTACTGTCGCACAACGGCACTCCTTTTCTTGAAAACCCCCGCAGGAGCTGGCTCTCAAGAAGGCCATCGCCATCGCGCCGCGTGGAAAGCGAGCTATGGAACTTCTGAACATCTCTGTAGGCGCAGGGCTTCCCAACATATTCTTTTTGGCTGCAACCTAGACTCCTGCAGGTACGCAGTCTATCTCTCCTTTATTTTGGGCGATCGAAAGCGGTGCCCTCAACAGTGCGAGGGCTATGATTGTTGACTTGCTGACTATCCGTGCAGACAGGGACGTCTACTACTATGGCTGTGATGACATGTTCACACGGCACCCTGACATCATCCAGCGCTTGTGCAAAGATGCGCCGACGCTTTTGTGGACTTTGTTAGACGGCCTCATTTGGCGGTCCCGACTGACCTACCAGGGTCAGCGCCGTGTGAATTACTATGTCAAGCATCTAGTGCAAGACCTGGAAGGCAACTGCAACCATGCTCTCCAGTGGTTGGCTGATCACAAGGACCCAAAGATGATTGTTCATCCGGTGGTCATTCTCTTCGCCGACCTCATTTGGAACCGGCTTGCCATGTACCACTTCCTTCTTGGGAGATGCTACTTCCTGTTTGCCCTTTGTGTCTTCATCACAAGCCAAGCTTTGCTCTTCCGACACGATGGGACCGAGACTTTGGAGGAAAACATTGTGAGATTCGTGTGTCGATGCTTCCTGTACTTTGGGAGCTTGACAAAGTTGTTCTACAACCAGTGCAAGCTCTTCTACACGGACATGAAAACAAGAAACCTGAGGTGGGTTTACTTCTGCCCAGTTCCTAGATACTTGAGCAGCCCGCAGCATGCGGGAAACCTACTGCTGGTAATCCTGTTGATTCTCATGTACATTGAGGAGCCCATCTTATGGTGCGGAATATTCACCACAGACAATCCAATTGGCCCCTTGTTCACCAACAACTGCGAGGAATCAGAGGCGATAAAGGACATTTACTCCATATTCTCGTGCTTCGCCATGCTCTTGTACTGGACTCTCTTGATGGATTTCACACTTTTCTCCATGCGCATCTCGGCCTTCGTCCTCGTTTGTGGGCATGTTCTTGCTGATGTTGGCTTGTTTGTGCTCGCCCTTGTATTTTTGGTCCTCGCCTTTGCAACCGCCATCAGCTCATTGAATCATGGCCTTGCAAACTTCAGTGGTATCGACCCTTGGTTAGTCAGTCTCGTGCAGATGACGCTGGGAATGTTCCCTGCGCGCTCCTATGATGACTTTCAGTCTGAGGTGGCGGTGCTCACAGCTGTTTCCGTCTTCGTGGCGGTTGTCAGCATTTTCTTGCTCAACCTTCTTATAGCCCAACTCAATCAGTCGTATCATGATGTCTTCGAAGATATGCAAGGCTTCGCTCGGCTGAATCGAGCAGGAGTCATTGCGGTGACCCTGGAGCAGGTGCCTAGAAAAAACTGGATAAGGTTCCGGGAGGGCCTTCAGTTCGAAGAACGACTAGAGTTCAACGAGGGCGACATGGGCCTGGCAGGTGGAATCCAGGTTTTGGAGCCTGCAAATGCAAACCCTCTGACAGAAGACACCATCCGACGTTATGGCGGCTCCACTGCCCCTACCATGCCGTGGCCACAAGAGCACAGCGAGGACGGGTATGAGGTAGCCTCAGTGGGTGGTCACACTCTTTCATTCTGCTAGTACTTGTGTTACTAGCATTCCTAAATCACATGCTTCTTATCTCTAATCAGTTTTTTTCCCTGGTTACAGGGCAGTTGGCATGCCAGGACGCACAGGAGGAGGACAAGTTTGAGCGCTTGGAAAAGTTGGTTCTTCGTTCTACCAAGAAGAAGAGGAGAGGCGGCGAGTCCTCAGGAGGCCTGGCATATTTGCTCCCCAAAAAGCCTGTGTAAGGTTTCTCTTCGAACATAAGTCACTAGAAAAGAGTCTTGCAGTGCATGTTCTGGAAAATGTGTGCATCGCAGAGCGCCGAGTACTTCTTGTGGCTGCAATCACTCTTTCAGCTCAGGTGGTAGCATGGCAGACTCTTCCTCAGCTGCGGGCCATTCTGAGGGTAGTTCCAAGGGATCTGTGCAGAGCTCCTAACCGTTTCGTTGAGTTTCACCAATCAAAGATTCAAGACGTATCTCTTGCGCCAAAGGCGCCTTCCACAATTCCTGCATCCGCTTGCAATCGCTGTGAGCCAAATTTGCTAGGGTGCCCACAGCTTGCAGATCCGGTAGTAACTTCAAACATCTTCAAACTGAACTCAACACGACACTTTGCTGCCTGTGGTGCCGGAACGCCATGCTGTAGGAAATCCCTTTGTTTCCCACCGCTGCGTGGCATGAGAGACGTGTGGGAAATCTCAAATGAAGACGCTTGTGGCTCCGGACTTCAGGTTTTCTTCCTCATGACTGAGGGGCTTGCTGAGATTAGGATGCCCTCGCCGCCAACTGCAGGTCAGGTGTTGGCCGAGCCTTTGCAGCATTCGGCAAACCTTCCTTCTATGGCACGGCTCTCAGTGATATTGAGAACTTGAGGGTCTAGGGCTTCGCAAACGCATCTTAGTATGCAGGCTTCTAATTCCAAATAAGAGACACACCAGAGCAGCTTCTTTCTCGAAAGCTCTCAGCGTATGCGAGTCCTTGGAGAGGGATGCTAGTTTTGGAGCAGTTTCCTGTGCTACCCAGCCTGCCTTCCCCTCAGACATGTTCGTGCAAGGTCGAGGGTTTCCGTGTTGTGGACCAGGCAAGGGGTGCTGCCTGGGTTTGGTAGGGAGGCCTGTATGGCAAGCTGACGGACTACTGTGTTAGGGGCACACTTGAAATGAACTTCTTCAAGAAATCGCAGCATCTCAGATATCCTGTTTCAACAACATCAGCTGACCCCTTGTTGTTGTCTTGGGCGCAGCCCTGGGCGCATATTATGAGAAGTGAGAGCTTGTGGGTATGCTGTGGGTGCCAACATGGAAGTACGGTCTGCCAGGCTTGAAACCAAAGGCCTTCAATTAGTTTTTTTTTCTTTTTGTGAAGGCGTGCAATCACCTGCAATCCATCGGCCAGGTATGCCCGGTTTTATGCGAAGATGGATCTCAGGCGAAGCGGGCTATGGGACCAAATTCCTCTTCATCATCCCAATGCTATGTCATCAGGGTCTTCTCAGATCAAGTTGTTCGAAGGTTGGCGTGCTGAGGCTGCTTGTCTTCCTCGAGGCTTGGAGGAACATGTCGGGTTCCGTGCAAGTCCTGAGCCAATGGGAGTGCGCATGGATAATCGCCATGAGCGTCGTCTTTCCGTTGGTATTTCATCACAAAACCCACAGCATATTTGAAGGTAGCAGTACTGCTTGTGTTAATATGTTGTAATTGTGATGCGCTGCCTTGTGTATGTCTACCACTGCTAAAGCCAAAATCTCCAGAAAGAATTTGTGGACTCGGCCGTGACTTGATTAGCTGGTGAGCTTGGTTGCTTGTAATTCTTCTTTACCGGAGAATGTTCTCCCTATTCACCCCCTAATAATAGGTGGGAGGGGGGCGGGGGTATGTTCAGTTGGCACCTGTTTTGAATAGGTGGCGCGCCCTTTTGGCAGAGTCCCCACTTCCAGAAAAATAGGTGGCGGAATGAGGTCTGACACGGTTGTTTGGTGTGCATGATGGATCCTGTGCAGCTGTCAGAGTTCCCTCCCCTCCCCAGACCCCCCCCAAGTAAATGGGTGCACCTATTTTCCATGACCCCCCCCCACCCCCCCTCTTAGGGAGGGGGAATTTCCCTATACTGAAAGCCAAAGGCTAAAATCTGCTCTGCTGTTTCAATGAACCCTGTATATCCGACTTGAGATGCAAGGATCTGGGTCCCGCGCGCGACGAACGGGAAGCCCCGGCCCCTCGGCCCCAGCGGTTTTCAAGCCATATCCAGGTAGCCTTTGACAGCTGACTTCATCCTGGTCGAACATTTAAGACAGGTCCTGATCACCTGATTAAATTGATACCCTCAGCGCATGCAAGCTATGACTATTGGGCTTGAGAATACACATACTCTTCTTTAACTTCGTATTCCAGTGTACCTTAGTCCTACCTACCGTGCAGACTTGTGTTCCGTAAAGCCGCAATTCGTAGTATTAATACTATTTGTATTATTCTGTTATTCTTCTTCTTAGTACTATTAATAGCAGCAGCAGCAGCAGCAGCAGCAGCAGCAGGAGCAGCAGTAGTAGTAGTAGTAGTAGTAGGCGCCGCCCCCCTTTGGGCAATACCTTTTGCTTGTATTCAGTACAAGGACGATAGGTTGGGATTAGGGGAGGGGTGGGGGGTGGGGTGGTTCCCTACAAGCAGAGCGCATCCTCTAACCAACAATTCTCCCTAATCTTATAAGTTTTGTCTCACACGATTCCCCTAACCTTGTAAGTTTGGTCTCAAAGAACAGGAGTTGATGTTGCGCTTAAGCGCGCAGCTTGGAAGGTTCGCACGCGGACAAAACGGGCTAGAAAATGCCCAATGCAAAATGACGAAAGATACTTCTTGTATACTTCTCCCTCCCACTCATTAACAGCTGCAGAATTGTTCGAAGGTAACCATACATAGCCCCTGTAATGCCCTGTTAATAGGCGGGGGCAGGACCCAAACTACTACCATTACTATTGCTACTAGCCACATTTTCAGGGAATCATAGAAGAACTCATAATGAACGTTACGCAAAGCGTAGTGCCAGGGGGGGGGTGGGCGGCTACTAGTACTAGTACTACTAGTAGTAGTAGTAGTAGCAGCAGCAGCAGCAGGAGTAGTAGCAGTAGTAGTAGTAGGAGTAGTAGGAGTAGTAGGGGTAGTAGGAGGAGGAGTGGGAGTAGGAGTAGCAGCAGCAGTAGCAGTGGGAGTAAGAGTAGGAGTGGAAGTAGGAGAATAGTAGTAGCAGCATTAAGCGATCATGACAGTCACATTTCTTCAGGTTCCACCGGTGCTGGAGGGTACTACAAGGCCTTCAGTCAGACAAGAGAACCCGGCTGGGCGCACAGTATGCTTGTGATAAGGGCAGTGTCTGCTACTGCGTTTCTGACATTGTGTTGCCAAGCTTTCCCAAACAGGACCCTGTGCGTGAGATAGGCTGTACTGTTGTAATGTTTCAATTAGCCATGTTGGCGCAGGGTCTGCTAGCTTAATGCCATCAGTCCACGAAGACGTCTAGATGTGTTTCCAACCTTGCCAGTATCTGAAAACGTTCTTCGTGCTGTCAGAACCTGTAGAATCAAATCTATGTTCTTGGTGGTGGTGGAAATTCGTCACTTTGGTTGCAGTATCCGTTGCCCAATTGCTCTCTGAGGGCCACTGCCCGTGGTCATCAGTTTGCATTAAGGCCGAAGCTACGTCAGTTTCGGGCGTGGATGCAGTTGAGGCAATGTTCTCAGTCGATGTTTCCCGTGATTCACGCATGCGCTGTCTTGCCAATGAGTGTGACTCCCCATCCATCGGTCATGCATGGCTTGAGACTTCCCTTTGCCACCAAATAGTCGAGCAACAGTGGACGGAACGCATCATCTTTGTTCGCATTGACATATGTAAGGCTGTACCGTCTATTCTTCGAAGCGCATACGGGTTGGAGCTCGGGCCTCGCTGAAAGCAGTTGTGCGCAAGTGAGAGTGACATAGCGTGTGCCGACTCCCAGGCTCTGGCGACAGGCCGAGGAGGTGCTCTCCGCACATGTTATCTCAGCCGCGAACTACTGGTGGCTGGCGGACTTTGCAGGACAAATTCCGTGCGTATCTTGCAGAGCAGGAAGCTGGCCTGAAAGCTTCTTGGCAGAAGCAGTTAAGACGCACATAGTTCTGTAGCGGGCTTGCGACGTGCAGCCACGCCTGCGGAGAGGCTCGCCTTGAAGAAGAATATCGACAGCGGGAGGTCCGTTACTGACCAAGGAGCATTGCGAATGGATAATCCAAGACACGCCATGCGCAGGAGGCGCGCGCTGCAGACTTTGCCCAGCGGCAGGCCTGCCTTCATACGTATTTCAGTCTGATGTGTTAAATCAAACTGTACTCTTACAGGCAAAGATCCAGCATGTGGAGACAGTGGTGAGGAGGAAGCTGCAGGCAAACGATTCTTGCACATGGGATTTGAGAGTCGTTCTGCAGTGTGCGAGTCGCACCCAGGAGCTGCATCAGAAGGAGCTGGCCATAACTTCGGAGGAAGCCCGTGTGTCGTCCTCATCTTCAAATCCTACAAAAGGGAGTTCGAAGATCGCAGGGAACCGCTGAAGTTGGCACGCTCGAACTGTGGAAGCGCAGGTGGGCAATCTGCAGCTTGCAGCCAAGCGCGAGGCGGAGATGGCCCATAACCCAGAGATATCCAGATATCTTCCTGGGGATACCTGGGTTGAGATTGCTTGGCTACAGCTTCAAAAGGGAGATTGCCACGGCTTTTCTCCAGTTCGGTGCAGTCGTTGGAATCAGTTGTGGAAGGCTTCTCGTCAGCTCAGGCAGTGTCGCAGCGGGAAGACACTGCCAAGCTGCGGACCTACGGCAGACTGTTTTCATGGGCTTCGGCTGAGAATCGAGGACAACTTGCAGATGTGTTCAGAGTCTGAGCTCTTCGTATCGGGCCGAGGCAAGAAATGGCCCAGCTTTCGCACAGCCGCTTCCTGAGTCGCGTTGTGGGCCAGTGCTCCACAAGCGCTCCACATGTGCTCTTGCGCAGAGCATTTGGATTGAAGGACATAAGTGCAGTCATGAGCCGAAGTATTAAATGCACCAGACAGTAGGACGATTTAGCCCTGGGAAATCCTGGGAACATTATGCCAGCGCAGCAAACCATGCTGCCCCAGTGGATTTCTTCTATGGCCCCTGAGCCGCCTGAAGGCTTGGAATTGTCGCGGGCTCGGAGCCAGTTCCTGGAGGAGCAAGTAGGAAGCATGCAGGCTCGGCGGTTGAAGTGTCTATGTAAGGGCCAGAAACTGGGGGCTGGAAGCCGGCAACCTGACAGCTGTTGCTGAGAAAGCCAGCAGGCTCAACTTTCTGCTGCCTCTGCAAAGCTCCACGGTCTGGAGAAAGAGCAGAGTGAGCGTGATGCGGAGCTTCAAGAAACAGCCTCAGAAAACACGGCCATGCCAGGTTGCTTC